GCGGCGAAAAAGTGGCATCTCATGGCAAGAAATCCATTCTTGAAGGCTGAACCTTTAAATGGTGTTTTCTGTAATAAAACCTTATTGTATTTATTATTTAATTATTATTAGATTATTATTAGAGAACATTTAACGCAGTTTTTATGTTCGTTGAATATGTTTTAATTAGAAATCTATAATAATGATTTATGGTGGCTTTGTTTTGGTACAAATTTATTTTATATCGGGAATCAGTTGATCTCTATTGCTTATTATCAACTTGATTTAAAATTAGTATCTGTTTGCTTGACCTACCTCGAACTCAGACCCTTTATTTTAATCCCTTGTTCTTTTCAATGAGATTACACTTGGTTTCTCTCAGTGGAAATACCGCAGACGGGGAGCGTCAGGCGGCCAGACACGCTCTGTAAAGTCATTAACAGATGCTGATTTGATTACAATTGTGCGCCTTTACTCTCTGTTTATCACTCGGGGTTTGTTTGTTTGCTTGTGCTTGTGTGGCGAAGCCAAAAGTCTGGGACATATCAATTGCTGGCGATTTCCCATATCAATCAGTGGCGCGGAGTGGAGTATCCAAGGGCTAATCAAAACATAATCCAGGCAAAGCCCGATAACGGCCGTCAGCACTCGAGTGGCACTTCGGTCTTACATCCCCCATAAGTACACCTGGCCATATCAATCAAAATATATACTATATGTGGACTGCAGAAGGAGAGGGCCATATTCTGCAGAGGGAGAGGGAGAGGGAGAAGGCGTGTGTTCTTGTCTTTGTTCATTATGCATGCCCGCCCGTATTTATGTATGTATTTATTTGCTTAATATTGTTTGGCTGTGGCTCGCTTTTGTTTTGCTTGCGTAGCTGAAAAAAGCATGTGATCCCAGCAAGTGCCCCTCCCCCTTACCTCCCGCTCCTCCCCTCTTTTCGCTGGCCCTGGCCCCACACAGAAATAATGAAAATAAAAGCTATGGCAAAAATATCAGAATAAACAACGCTGGCTCTTCGAGCGATAAGTCAACTTAGCGGCCTTTCGATAATTGTTTTCGCGCTGATCTCTCCCATACTCTAAAATTGGCCAGGTCAGCAGCAGCCCAGTCCAGTCCAGGCCGCCTTGGACCTTCTGGCTTCTGACTTTCTGGCCCCATATGCTCACGTAGTCGCAATCCCCCAGCGATCAGGGCTGCTGACAAAGTCCATTTAGGCGGGCATACGCTTGCACCCTACGCAAAAACAAGTAGGGTCTTTGGATTCCCTATCTTTATTTAAAATATTTTAATAGAATTAATATTTTAAAATATTTTAATAGAATTAATATTTTAAATAATTGGTTTTCTTTGAAAACAGATCTTGGAGTATACATACTTAATTTTTTAGGTTTCTTTTTAAAACTTGATTCAAAAAAATTAAATCAAATCATGAGATGGTAAAACAATAATAATATTAGACAAATAAATCCTAAATTGTATTTATTTTGATATCTTAACTTTTTGCCTGATGTTTAGATAAACTCTAAACAAAATAAATACTCTATGCCTCATCTAAGATTTTTTGTTAAAATAATCCTGGTTGATATATTAAAATATAACATCTCGGCTTAAACTCCACGCTAAAAAAGATTTGGAAAGGCTTTGATAGATAATCAAAAGCAAGCAATTAAAAACCTGAAAATTACTTGGCCGACTAGATAACCTAGGGCATTTTACCTTCGACGAAAAAACAACCGTCGAGGAATGTCTTTAATGCTGTTATTAAATTTTGGCCATATGTCTTTCAACTAATCCATCAAACAATCATTCATCGTTGTCTCTTGACTTTTGCCCAAATATTTTCCTTTCTCTTTCTTTTTTTTTTTATGTTTATGTGTACTTCGGTTTATTTTTTGTATTTTTGTTGTTGAAATTTTTTAAACAACATATTAACACATCAGTCTATGACAAGCAACAAATGGTGGCCACATGATGCTCGTCCGACTTTTGGGTTCGGGTTCGGTTTGGATTCGGATTCAGATTCGGTATGGGTTTCGGTTATGTTCGGGTTGACTGCGCAGCTGGACGAACCAACGAATGGATGGATCCGAAAATCATGTGAGCGGGGCGCTCCAATTTGGATGCCCCATGTCGCGGCCCCGAAGTCGCCTCGTTTGAGGATCGTTGCTTGTATTATCTGCATGAGTGTTCCATCGTGCTGCCCTCATATACACGACGTGACTATATCGATTGGCCAGCCAGGCAGGCAGGCAGGCACACAGGCGAACAGGCAGGCCTTATTATAATGCATATGCGAGTGGTGAGCTCGCCGCTCGTCTCGCTCTGACGAGTGGGCACGGGACCTGGGCTTTTCGATTCCCCTCCCAGTTCCCGATCACCCCAAGCTCTCCGATCACCCCCAAGCACCCCGAGCTCCCCAGTTCCTCAGTTCCCGAGCTCCCAGTGCGATCGCGAGCGCCTTGAACTTCATTTGCTGACTAGCATCGCGGCCATAAAGATATCGACGCGTCCGTCAGGTTCGCTTTAATCGGGGTCTAACGGTAAATGTTATAGTTCAACTTCTCTAACTCTGAAAAGGTTAACTCAAAAATAAATCAGAAATCTGATTTATCAACTAACTACCCTTTTACCTCAAATCAAGAATATAAGCATCTAAAAATTAATAATTTAATTCATAATGGTAATAATTTTATTACTGAATTTTAAATAATTTAATATCCAATCAGATTTTTATTTAACCATGCTAATTAAGAGTAATTAGTGTAAATTCTTCGTCAAATAATAAATAAATAGAGTAGTAGTGCTTTCAACAATAAACGTAATTCATGTCGTGACTTCTTTTTTAGTAAATAAAGAAATTGTTTACGTTTTTATTTGCGAATAAATCGCAAACAAATAATGAGGGTTTTACCTCATTGGTTATCAATTTGATGTGGAGAGCTATAGAGCTTAATATTTATTCAATGCATATTGCGATTTTTTTTTCAGAAATGTAAAAGCCAAAAGCACTTTATAAATACTTTTTATTTGTGTAATCTTCAAAATAAACTCTGAAATAAATAATAGATTTATCTATACAAATAAATTACAGTTAACAATTATGTGTTAATAGGGAATTCCCTTGTATTTTTGGTTCTTAAATGTTAAATAAAATTAAATGAGGTATCTTTTGTGTTGTGAAATGAATAGGCAAGGCCGAGTTAGAGAAGTACAACTATAATAAAGCTAAGGAAATTTCCGGACAGACAGTCGGCGCTATCGCGAAGCTGCAGTTGAATTACGGAATTACCCTTTGTCGCATGCATACACCGCCCTTTAAATCCATGTAAGCACCGCCAATAAATTGGACGCGGTCCGGGCAAGCCGGACATTGGACAGCCGAAGGGACATCAAAAGGGACCGCCGGTCAAGTTCGGCTGGGCCTGGCTGGCCGCTATATATCCGCTATATCAGTTAGTCCCTCGTGACCGGCCCCAAAAACCGAAACCGAAAAAAAAAACACCTTCGTAATCGCTGTGCGTGCGGGCTCCCCCTTCTTATCGCAGGGCTGTAAAACATTTATTAAGCTCTAAAACTAGTTCGCCCACTCACTCCCCCAACCTCCCACTTAGCGCAGTTCCCACCTCCTCCTCCTTCTCCTCCTCGTCGAAAAATAAGGCAAACGACTATCATCAGTTTGGGCTAATTGTTAATTATAGCGCTAATTTCACGAAAGACGCCTTTTCGCAGTTAGCGCTACTTAGACAAGCCATTTATACAGCCACTAAAAATAAATTAGCTCAAATCGGTTGGACGAGCTTTAAATCGAGTCCAGGGGCAGCCGAATTGTCTGGAATGTGGAGTGGATTTGGAATGGGTGTTTGGCTATCATTAAAGCTGACAGGATCTCTCACCAAATAATTTACAACTATTTATTTTGATATAATGGGTATAGTAAAACCCATTGCAACTGCTGTTTATCTATTTCTAAGCACGAGAAGGCCGCTTCTGAAGATCTACAATTTAAAATTAACTTTTAAGTACCTCAAGTATTGCCATTAAATATCTTTAAGATCTTTTCAATGAGACGTGTATAATAAATAACAACGCGCGACCCATTCCCATTCATAGATTCGCAACTAATGCAAAGCTATTTTTCAATACACAAAACTAAAGTGTAAGTGTTCATAATGAACCCAAACTAGTCTGTTTGCTGCTAAGATATATACCTAATTGCTTAGCTCTACTCGAGTAGCCCAATTATAGAACCTCCGAAAATAAATTGGCTTAATTTAACATTCAAGTTTGCCGTCATGTGACTAGCGAGTAGACACACCTCCACTCCCCCGATTTCAAATGGGGGGTTCAAAGTTCAGCATTAGTACGTTTTAGGCGGCCTTATCTTTCGACATTCTGGCTGCTATATGGGTGTAAAAGATTTGTCAACCGTCCCCGCTCAAATGTCGCTCGGAATCGGCATGAGTAATCGTCACGTGCCAACTGTTGGGTCGCTATATATAGAGCATAGCATTTGCCATTTTATCGACGACAATGAACATCTCAGAACACGAATACGAATCCGAATAGTAGAGCTGCTCGAGATGTGCGCATTATAATGAACCTCGTCTGGTTTCGTCTGGGAAACTGTGGGTGGCATTTCTACGACCTTCGGGGCGGAGGAACTCTAGAATCACAATTTAAACAAGAGCTGGGAACACAAAATTAAATGTATATATTTAAAACGATTATATCCGGTCACATGTGATGATAGCCATAATGATTGTGGGCATAATAAAAGAGAAGATTTCATCACTTTTGTGTTTCTAAATTTACCTAAATTTTGGTTTCGACTTGAATAATTGGTTTTTGTGGGAGGTTTGGCATTACCTAAATTGTGTCAGCATAAATCAGCTCACTTGTCTAATAAATTAGTTCGCAACCATAACAAGGAAGTCACATTGACTGATTAATTTGTTTTGCCTTAAAAAATAATTAAACATTTTAAGAAAAATTATTTATTTATCCTATTTTTTCAGTCGATTCCCCTTTGAGGGCAGCCAGGTGCGAGTTCTGCTCTACAAGGAGGATGACAGTCGGCGGCTGCTCTTCGACTCGAATGCCCTGCAGAAGGTGACGCACAGGGATCCATCGGCCACATCCGCATCCGCATCATCATCCTCATCCTCCGCGACGAATGCCAGTGGAAAGTTCCTCAAAAACGAGAAGTACACGTCGCTGCAGAATGGCAAGATTCAGGCCAAGGCACATTCCACCAACGGCAGCAACTTCATCGATGTGTGCGCGGAGTATGGCTATAAGGTGAGTCACTAACTTATCCGATTTTACTGCGTGGGTGTACATATGAATAATGTAGTAACAGAAGTGTCAGAAGTACTTAATTTCATCACTTTTCAAATTTCTACGTTCTCTATAATTTGTTCATTAATTATAATTGGTTAATTCATTATGATTAGTTCATTGATTTTATAGCGAGTACCTACTTATGAGTTTTTTATTCAATGAGATTTAACTGTAGAAGACAGACTTGTTAAATGTTTTATTATTTGTTGTTTGAAATTAAATATTACTATTATTATTAGTTTGGATAGTGTTTGTATTGCAAAGATATAAAAACCGCAAAAACCGCAATGATAAATGGAAAGAAATACTTTTTAAATAGGGGAACCCCAGAAATAATGGATATAATAGGTCAAGTAAAAAGTAATTCAAAAATCCATTATTTGTACATGAAATTCAAAGTTTTTTTTTATTGGTTAGAATTAACCGATTTATTTCAAATAAGCGCCATTCGATTACTTTTTACTTGATCTATTATTTATTCTAAGCAATAAAGTCCAATAATGAAGTTGGAAACTTGAGTTTTCTTTTAGTTTAAAATGTTCAGTTCTCTGCAAGTTTATGTTAAAAATCAAATTCCAACTCCTATAGTTAATTTATCTATTTATAAACATATTACTCCTATAGTTTTTAATATTTATATTTTTATAAATATTATTTTACAGCACAATCGACCTTGTGGAGCGGACATCACCCCGCTGGGCGAGATGGTGTTCGGCTCGCTGCCGATGTCCTTTTGCGGAACGGCCCTCAAGGTGCACTGGCTGCCGGAACCGGCCAGGATCCTCTGCTCCCAGGTCTACCTGACTCCGACGAGCAACGGAGGATCTGGATCGGGTTCGGGATCTGGTCACTCGCCCTACTCCACGCTCTCCACGAACAGCTTGGCGACGCCGCGCAGTTCGATCTGCAGCGAGCACGGCTCCATGGACGGCCTCTCGATGAACTCGTTCTCAATGCCCTTTAGTGTGAGTGTGGGTCGCCAGATGAGCCTGACGCCACCGCTGGATGTTCCGGCGGCGCCTGCGGATCAGCACTCTCTGTCCATACACTCGGTGGACTCGAGTGGACCGCGCTACTCCTCCACGTACAGCACGGCCACGGATTCGGGGTATTCGGCCAGCGGGAGTGGCAGTGCAGCTGGCGGGGATCAGTGGTCGTACCAGTACTCCTCGACGCGGAGCAGCTTGGGCAGCGTGCTCTCCGACCAGTCGGATGCGATGCGGAAGCTGAGCATGGACTCGGCCTGCTACACGGGATCCTCTCCGTATTTGGACGGATTTGCCAGCGACGGCTGCCTGCAGCGAAGAATCTCGCGCAACTTGCGCACCTCCTTCGAGAACGAGCATTCCAAGAACGATTTTATTGGCTTTCTCAGCGACAACTACGCCCTGGGTGGACAGGCGGGGGCTTCGGGTGGCGCTGGTGGAGCTGGAGGCGGCAGCGAGGGTGGGGGAATGGCGCCGCCGCAGTACAGGAGAGCCAGCTACAGTGCAAATGAGACGCGCAGCAATCCGGAGATGGGCAGAAGGCAGGCGAACCTGCGGAGGCGGGCGAAACTCGGACTGGCGGTGTGCATCTCGATGAGCGAGTCCTTCGAGGAGGAGATGGAGCTCTTCTGCAGCGAGCACATTGCCCTGCTGGAATCGATGCTCAGTCGGCTGAGAGCCAGCACAGAGCATGCTTATATAAACCACAAGAACTTTCTGCAGGTAAGGATCGCACTCCATTAACATTTAGTTTCTCTGGATTAATCTGGATTTCCTGTTTGGATCTTTAGATCATGTTCCAGGCCTGGCAGGATACTCAGCAGTGGTTCAGCGATCTCTTCACCGCCCCGCGCATCAAGACGCCCGTCTGGCTGAGCATCACCACCAGCGGCAGCAAGTACTCCAAGACTGTGGCCGAGAGATTCATCAAGGAGCTGTGCGACCTTCTCTCCTTCGCCGATACCAAGGACTCTAATTTGTAAGTTCATAACTACTTATTTATTCTTGTTTTATCAAAGAGAAATCATGGTCACAAAATAATCCTTATTTATGAAGGCAGAAAAGATATAATTCATTATGCAAATAAATATTATTTAATAAACCAAGTTAAGAACTTAACAAATAGCAGATGTTTTTTGTTAAATAAACAAAACGTCAAGATAATAATTTTTTTATACAACAAATAAACAGTTTTAAAAACCGCTAAGCTTGTTGGCCAAATTGAAAAGATTTTATCTATAGAATACCCCTTTGTTCTTTGTAGCTTCATCAGCACCATGCTGACGGGGATTCTCACGCACCACTTGGGATGGGTGGCCACCGTCTCCGCTTTTAACAGCGCCGGCTCCCGGCGATCGGAGTCCTCCGCCTCGGCGGCGGCCATCGAGCAGCGAGCCAAGCTGCTCCAGGTGGCCCAAAAGCATCCATACAACGCACTGTGGGCACAATTGGGTGATCTCTACGGAGCCATTGGAATGCCACCAAAGTTGGCACGCACCATTGTTTGTGGAGCAGAAAAACTCTGGGTGGAGAAGCTCCTCAATGTGCTGACCTACTTCATCCGATGCAGCGAAGTGCGGCGAGCGGCCAAGCGGGAGGACTTCAACAAGCAGCTGATCAACGATCTGGTGGCCCAGAGCCAGAACCAAAATCAGACGGGCAACCAGGAGCGGCACAAGAGTCCGCCGACGCAGACGCGCGGATTGAGCAGGACGGCCACCTGCAAGCAGAATCTGAATGCCATTGTCGACGACACGGACGACGAGAATGGCGAACTGAATGGCTACGGCGGAGAGAACGAGGATTTGGAGGGAGATGAGTTGGACACGGGTTCCGTGGACGCTAGCGATGGCATGCAGACGCTGAAGAAGAACGAGATTCCCACGGTGCTGGCCTTCCGGGACTCGCACTTTGTGCAGCAGGAGCTGCGTATTGGCAACTATCTGATGGACACGGGAATCGACAAGAAGACGCTGCTGGCGCGTCAAGCTCAACAGTACTTCCGTACAGGAAAAGATGGTCGCATTCGGTTGACAGTGACCACTCCCGACAACGTGGAACTCTGCATGGAGGAGGAGCAATCGAGTGGCACTGGTTCAGTGAGCACTGGATCCGTGGACGATGGCGCCATCGAGGCGTTGGATTACGAGGACAACGTGGAGGCGCCGCCGAAGAAGAACTTCTTTTGGAACATGGTGCCGGTGGCGGGCGTGAAGGAGGGTCTGAGTCTCAGCGATCTGGCCAAGCTGCAGCAGGGCATTCGGATCATCAATCGCAAGCTGGAGCGCCGGAGCAGCAGTTACTCCGTGGAGGGGAATCCCGACCAGCAGCAGGTGAAGGCAGCGGGCGGAACTGGCGACTTTGAGCCACTGAGCCACGAGAGACGCGCGTCGCACTTGTCGCTCTCCGATCTCATCACCCAGAACAGCATGGGCAAGAGCGATCGCATGACCTGGGGCATTGAGCCCATCAAGGAGAACGTTAGTCTGGAGGAGCAGATCCACTTCGATCACTGCCACAAGCTGATCGAGCGGGAGCACGGCATCTGCCGCCAGACATCGGCGGACAATGGCAATGGTGTGGTCTTCGTTCTCGGCGACAATGAACCGCTGATCAACCTGAAGAAGAGCAGCGAGGATCTCACCGGCGACGGGGATGCCAACAAGCCCACTCTGATGCTGTGTGCCCAGCATCAGCGCACCCACGACAGGAGCAAGCACTCCGGCATGAAGTTCAACTTCGAGCAGTATCCGCAAATTGCCACCAATTACATGAAGAGCAAGAACCTGCTGATGTCCAACTACGATCTGCTGATGGACAAGGCCACCAAGCTGGAGGCCAGCGAGGCGGCGGCCGCTCTCAAGGGAAGCGACAGCACGGCCACGTTGGCGGCCAGCGGCAGTTCCACGGCAGCTCTGCCTCCGCCAGCAACTCCGGTGGCTGCGAACAGCGAGCAGTGCGTGGTGTGCAGTGGCGTTGGACTGAATGGCTCCGCCACCTGGAACCAAACGCCCTCCAATGCCACCGAACTGGAGTTCGAGACCGACGAGATGCACTGCTACAATCACAGTGGGAATGGCAATGGATCCAGTTCCAAGGCGCTGCAGTCGGTGAACTCGGCTGCCTCCATTGACACGCTAAAGTCTTCGGTTGCCGCCGAACCTTTGAGTCCCGCGATCCCCACTCAAATGCAGACCACGTACATGCGGAAGCAGCAGCCCAAGCGATTGCCTTCTGGGAGGAGTTCCGTCTCCTCGGTGGCCGCCAAGTGTGCGGCGGTGAATGTGTCGCAGCAGGTGCTAAAGCTTCCCGTGCCGGGCGTCAAGGAGCTGCCGCAGGACGACGACTCCCCCGGCGATCAACTGCGGGCCGGTTTCATTCCCTCGCTGCTGCTGAGCGTCAGCGATCATTACGTTTCCGACATGGTTCTCCAGGTGGGTGTTGCACTAGATTCTTTAATTCCTTTTAGTTTATTTTAATCTTCTATCTTATATTTTTCAGGGCACCTGTGCTCCTCCAAATAAGTGGGAAATGCATCTGCGCGAGGATCTTGCACTTGCTGCTCGTTCCGCATCACTAATCTCGCAACCAGCGGAGAACATAGCCATTGTGGCGGACATGGACAAGTGGGATGTACGGCTGATCTCCTCGCAAACGCAGCAGTTTCCGTACGCCGGAGGCCAGAGTTCGCCGGTGGGAATGTCCCAACTCGTGTCCAGTATGCTGGAAACCGTGCAGGCGATGCATGCAGGAGGAATTCCTGCCTATGAGGTAGATACCCATAAATATTAGCCTCTATAAATTCTTTGCTCATGAATGATTTACTCTTTTTAGTGCCTGTCCTTTTTGGAGTCAAAGCTGCAGGAAATCTATCTGCAATCGGAGACTTTGGCAGCATTCCTGCTGGAAACGGATCCCTGCCGACTGAGCGACATCACCAATCCGCTGCAGCTCTCCGAGAACGATGTTCCATTGCTGCTGTCCATCGCATACATACACACCCCGAAGATCAGCCGCAAGTGCGGCATTAGCTTCCGGTGACGGACCGTCGCCGTCTGCTGAGCCAAGACATTGCCAACACATTCTTCAACCACACACCACAACCTTCAGCGAGCTCTCCTCATGCATCATCCAAAGCGAAACAAGCAAATACTCCAGCGAATTTTAGTTTCACTGATTTTGTGATATATTTATACGTGTATGAATCTAGCGCTTAAAAGCATGATACGTTAGTGAGCCATAGCTTAGCCTTAGCCCTCGAACCAAACCGATTTGATCTGATCCAATCCGATTCGATTTGATTCGATCGGAAGAGAACTGGAAACTTTTATAATCGCCCGGTGTAAACGGGTCGTTCATCGAAATTTACCACATCCACTCATCGCGGTCACATGAAGAAGTATTGTAAATTATCTGGGTTAGAATTAGCCGGGCCAGATTGCGTTGGCGATGGCGTTGCTGACTATAATGATGACGACTCCGGCTTAGCGGCACTCGAAACGGCCTGCTATCGGATCGATCGATCGCCAAAACATATCTTGCCCCGCCCCACACACTTTTGTAGTGCTTGATTTAGATTTAATAATTTATGACAGCAATAGGATAATCGTATAACTAATTGTATAAGTTTACAATAACCTAGGGAAGCAGTGAAGCTAATAAATTAATATTTAACGCATACGAGAAGCAACTAGAAATCAAATCAAAATATGTATTTATATTTTTGAAGGAATGAATATACACCTATTTTAAAATGAAATCAACACTTGTTTTTATTGTGGACGGGAATTTGGGAATTTGGTTGAATTTTTTTTATATTTTTAATTGTGAAAATTTCCCATAAAAAGTGTAGCATACTTTTGGGGGCAATTAAAAAATTTGAATTTTTTGTAACAGCCACCTACTATTGCATTATGTTCGCCTGGTGCTTCAAAGTGAAGTTTGGTTGAATATGTTAGGTTTGACTGGCCAAATTTTCCGTAAAAAATTATTGCATACTTTTGGGGGCAATTAAATTTTTTAATTTTAATAACAGCCACCTACTATTGCATTCTGTTCGCCTGGTACTTCAAAGTGAAGTTTGGTTGAATATGTTCGGTTTGACTGGGCAAATTTTCCGTAAAAAATTGTTGCATACTTTTGGGGGCAATCAAATTTTTTAATTTTAATAACAGCCACCTACTATTGCATTCTGTTCGCCTGGTACTTCAAAGTGAAGTTTGATTGAATATGTTCGGTTTGACTGGGCAAATTTTCCATAAAAATGTGTAGCATACTTTTGGGGGCAATTAAATTTTTTTAATTTTAATAACAGCCACCTACTATTGCATTCTGTTCGCCTGGTACTTCAAAGTGATTTCTGCCAAGAAAAAACAAGTTTTCGTTTTATTCTTGTAATTGTTTTATTTGTATTTTGTTTGTTTAATTCGCTTATGTAATTTATAATTGGTATTGGTTATACATAAATACATATATCTACTTGCTATTGCTTATTTATAGGGAAAGTAATTATTTTAAGACTCCCCATTAATCGACACTAACATCGATTTAAATAATTATCACATTTCCTACAGTGTACGGCTATTTATGGTAGTTCACTTAGAGTTGCTTTCGGACTATGGAGTTGGCGTTGCTCGCGTGCTCAGCATGAAACTCGACCTCCAGATGGGGCCACTTCGGGGTCACTTGCCCTTCTGCGACTCCAAGTAGGTGGCCGTGAAGGTGAGCAGGCGGTGCCGCTGCTTCAGGTTGCGGGCGCGGACGTGGGCCGAGTTCAGCTCCTCGGTGTAGCTGCCGGGGAACCAGCCGACCGCTCCATCCCGGATCCTTTCGCCCTGGTACCAGCCTGCGGAAAAGTAAAAAGGATTAATAAGTGTACGGAGATGCATTAGAAACCACTATTCAAGTTTCTTAAATTATGCTTTGAATATAGGACTATTGCATTCTTACAATAAACTATTGCATTTAAGCATACTTTTGGAAAAACTTTGAAGTGATTTGAATTTTTCTGCGATTTAATTTCTCCTGAACTCACCGTCGGGCAGCTTTCGCGACACATTGACGACGTCGCCCAATTCCAGTTGGAGGACGTCCGGTTCGTCGGACTCGTAGCTGTGCTTCGCTACCACCTGAGGACAGTCCCATGATTCGTAGAGCTTCTCGCCGGGAGTCTCCGCCTCGGGCGGTCGCATCGCCTGCAGCCAGCGCTGCTGATCGGACACCGATGGGCAGGACAGCACCTGAAAGATTAGAAAGAGGTTGGGTATTAATTTAAATTATAATAATTTATATATTTATCTATTATATTTAATTGAGAGGGGTTCCCGAGAATTTTTAATATCAAAGTTTTATTTAAACTCACCAGCTCGACTGTTTTTCGGTCACTGTTCTCGAGGAGAGTCATCAGGATGAGGTTCTTCCCCGCCTGATCTTTGAGGTCCTTGGTGGGCAGCTGGGGCAGCGAGTCGCCGGTGGAGAGGGTCAGCATGCTCCTGGGGCAGTAATCGAAGACGGTGAACAGAGATTCCCCTCGCCGCTTACACAGAAGCAGCAGATCCGAGAAGAGGAAGGCGTAGATGCTGACCTTGGTCAGTCGCTTGCCGAAGGTCAGCTTGGCATCTTCGCCGCGCCACACAAGGTGCGTCAGTTCGCCTCTTTTGACCAGGAAGCGCGGCTTGGAGCCCGCTCGCGGCACGCCCACCGGGGCAATGGCCAATGCTCGAATGTGGGAGGGGAACTCCAGCTGGCGGGCGATCCGCTCCAGCTCGAAGGCCTGCTCCCACCGGTTGGCCGCCTCGTTGCACTGGCCCACGATCTTCTGGACGAGGGCGAGCGTCAGCTTCCAGCTCTCGTACTCCTCGCGATTCAGCGGCGACTCCTTGCTGAACACCGCGTCGATGAGGAGCGGCAGTCGGGTGATCCGCTGCATGGGCAGCATGAGGAACGAGTGCAGGTTGAGGCCGCAGCAGCTGGGACTCGCCTCCAGGCGCTCCAGATGCTGCTGGAAGGCCAGCGACTCCTTGGACTCCTTCAACCTACGCAGCGTCCTATCCATCCTGCCCTGATGCTCGCAGAAGGAGACGTAGACGTGGAAGTGCCGCTCGGCGATCTCGTAGATGCAGCGACTCAGTCCCAGCAGCATGATGTTGTCCTGCCAGCAGGCCTCCAGCTCCGTGAGCAGCTTCTCCGAGCACTCGTGCACCGGCACAATGTACGAGAAGAGCGCCTTGCGGTCCTTCGCACTAAGCACGGATGTGTCCACGAAGGCGCTGTGGTTCATGAAGTGCCTTCGCAAAAGGTTCAGCGACTTCAGGTAGCTCGCCTCCGAGGTGATGATCTCGAACTTGGCCTCCTGCAGACTGCGCTCCCGACTCGTCAGCGTGGCTTTAAATAATGGTTAAAATTAGTTGGAGGATCTTAAATCGTATAATAATTATTTTTTGGTACTTACGTAGTATGCATGATTGAATGACCTCTGGGATTTCACTCCACAGGGTTCGAGATGGTCCATTCTTGGGTTCCACCAGCTGGAGGGCAGTGGGTCGTGTCTTGGCCAGAGGTTCGGTCTTCGCCTTGGCGTGCTGGCCAATCTCCTCGTAGCCATCCGAAGAGCCATGTGCCTCCAAGTCGCGGGTGATCGACTGAAACAGAAATATGATGTTAATTACATTCGAATTAAGAAACCCATTTGGTTTTTTTTTGGATAGTCGAACCCCCAACTCACCTCCAATTTGGCGGCGCTGTACATCTGATAGAGTGGCTCGTTGGAGAACAGACTGTGCGGCTCCGAGGACATCTCGTCGCCCAGGCCAGCCTCGTTGCCCGTGGAGACACCAGAGCTGCCGCTGGAACTGGCCACGGAGACGCCACTGGTCTGGTAGAGACCCGACTCGGCGTACCAGGAGCTAACTCCGCCATGACCACTCGGCGTGGGTGTGATGGGTTCATCGCCCCTGGGAGAAACAGCTCCATTGGTGGCCTGCTTGAAGACACCGCACTCGGCGTACCAGGAGGTGGTCTGTCCGGTTTCCTGTTCCCGTTCGGGATCCGTGGGCGTTTTGCTGCCCGTCATTGGAGGAGGAGGCGGAGGCGGTTCATGGGGACGCAATCCAATAGTGGTGCGGCGCCTACTGGCCTTCGCCTCCTTTTTGGCCTTGCGAGCCACAGTCGAGAACTTTTGTGACTCCGCCGTTGGCGTGCAGTTCTTCTCGGAGAAGCCCGAGTCCAGTTCCCCGGATCCGTGGATCTCGGGTTCCAATGGCAAGGGTGGCAGCGATCCCTCGGGATCCTCCACGTAGAAGGTGCTTCGCGTGGCCGCCAAAGAGGAGAGCTGTTTGGTATCGAAGCTGGAACCGACTAGACTTTTGCGCAAACGGGAGCGAAGGCTCTTCCCATTCTTCTGTTTGGCTCTCAACACAGGAGCCTGCTCCTGGTGACTCTTGGTTGCCGGACTCCTCTCCGGTCCGTACTCCGTGCTCTCGTACACATCCTCCGTTCGCTTGGCACTCTCCACGTAGAACTGGGTGGCTGGCGGGGCATTCTCGTACAGCTTTTGCTGGCTGCCCTTGGGAGACTTTTTGCTGGAGATGAAGTCACGGAATTTCCGCACAAACTCGTACACCTGATTTTGGGGAGGCTTCGGCAGGCGATCGTTGCGCATGTCCACGCCGCTGTCGTTGTGCTGGAATCGAAAAGCGGAAGAGTTAGTTGGGAGAGTTTCCGGAATAAAAAAAAAAAACACTACTTAACACTTGGCTCATAAATTGATTTGGGTGTAAAAAACGGAAGTTTATAGCACAGGTTTAAATGCTGTGGCATTTACTCCTATCTAAGAAACCGCATTGCACAAGCTTGATAAGTTTTTTTTGTTTATAAGTGAAAACACATTTTAGATTTCTGTTGGGCTGTTTTGGTTTATAGAAAAAAGTTTACTATGCTGAGTTTAATTTTTTTATTACGGCATGGCAATATCAAAAATAATTTTTGTATAAGTAATCTATGTTTTTTGACACATGTTTGATTTATTTTCTTCTTTCTTTAATTAAAAACATGTGTTTTAATTCAAAAAGCCTGACTTTAGGTGAATCTCTTTTAGAAATGGGGCTTCGATATAGTATGCTTCCACTTACGTTTCTTAGTCGCTGGCTGGGTTCCCCCTCGCCGTGATCGTCGCTGTCCGTGTCGAAGGAGTCGTAGTCGTCCGAGATGACGGGCTCGCCCAGCGTGTGGGCGGATGCCGAGTGGTTCTTGCTGCGGCGGTGCGAGGAGCGCATTCCGCTGTTGCGACCCGACTCCTGGCTGTGTCGCACCAGCTGCGTTGAATGGCGTTTGTTTCCGAGTGGCGACAGCGTCTCGTAATAGTGGTCTGAGTCATCTGTAAGGGGGAGAAAATAAAAGATTTAGTTATCGTTTCCTGGTTCACATGGGGGTACAGAGCATAGAAGTCGCCATTTTACTATATATTATTACTATTTGTTTTAAAACTTTGTAGTTTTGTAAATAATTTATAATAATTTATGCAATCTTTATAAAATTAAAATCTTTTTTAAAATCTTAAAATATTTAAAATTACATTATATTTAAAATTTTAAATAATATATATATATAAATTGGTACAATTATTGCCAGCAAAGTTAATGATTGTATCGCACAGCTGATCAAATAACAGTGATAAATATTTTAAAAACCAGAACGAACCTACGAAAGTGCTCACTGTCATGGTGACCTTTGCCGAGTTGTCGCCCCCCTCCCCGCGGGTCACGCGCATGGAGGTCAGCAGGTGGGCCCGCTGGTGGGCGTGGCTGCAGCGCTGGCTAATGGCCGCCGCCTCGTTTTGGTAAATCGGTTCGGGAGCGGGTCGCAGGGGCTCCGCGGACACGGGACCGTTGAGATAGACGCTGCTGGAGTTCCCCTGACAGGTGACCGCCACCTCGCCGGCGGCACGAGGTCGCCGCTTGCGGGGCAAGGTCACCGGGTCAAAGGGAGGACCGCTGCTGCTCAGACTGCCGGAGCAGCTGAGGCGCTGGTCGTTGCTGCGATTCAGCGTCGACATCTTGTCACATCTTTGGGGTCAGAAGCCTGTCAACGGATTGATTCAATGAATCACTCAATTGGAGCAAATCCTGCACTCGAAAACTATTGATTTCTCAAGACTTTGGCATTTCTTCACAAAGGGAATTTTATATTATTTATATGTATATTTGTTAAATATTTTTCAGCATTTGTAAATTTATCAGTTTAAGAAGAAAATTGCCAAATAGATTTTTTAGATGCTGCTCTAAGTTTCAAAACTATATTTCATTCGTATTTTGTTCTCTTAATTATGAGTGGTTGCTGTTGCTTTAGATATTTTTCTATGGTTTATTCATTTATCAAATATTTTTCAATTTTTTTAAATGCATTGATTATTGGGTTATAAGTTAAAAATCCTGCTGTAAATATTTTACTCCAATTTCTCGATTTTTTTCAAGTGTGGAGCTTAAACTGTTGTATTCTGAACTCTGTTCTTGGAAAATGCACTCAATTGAAAGCAATTAAAGCTGCTGCAGCAATTGTCTGCCCTTTTTTGATTGACCAAATCAGCCCACTGTCCGATATGCTAATTAAACCGACTTTTCAAGTGACACAACAATACAGCTGCCGGCCATATAAGCGTATGGAATGCAAACCCGTGTGTGGCGTTGGCTAAACCAACTAAACTATACTAAACCAAACTAAAATAAAAGCAAACACCCAAGCGAGGGCATGCAAAATAGCGCAAATTATAATGGAATCATGGTTGAATGCAGACAGTCGCTGTGGATACAATGTCGAGTGATTAACAGACATGGCTCGAAAATCAAACACCATGATGTGGCAGGTGCCGTACTCTACTGCTATATGAAACTGCTCTAAAGACCAACGAATTTAGCAATTTCCAAACGAATTTCAAGCACTTTTTCATGGGGCAGAGAACAGCTTGGCTTGGTGGCCAAGCCATGTGTGAATTTAGAAAATTCTAGCTGGATACGGGCACAAAGTGCTTAGACTAGATACTATCTGTGCGCATATTACGTATACGTAATACGTAGATGAAGAGGCAGGCAAGCGCAGCGAGTGGCAACCGGTTCGTGAGCGCCAATAAAACCAGGCAGCGGGCCAAGCTCTGCCAGCTGAACATGAATATGAGTTTGTACCGATATGGGGCTTATGAACATATACCCACAGGTGCGGACAAAATAATAGCAGTCATCTTGGAAAGACGAAAAAGTGCATCAGGACGTTAACTTCAGAGAAAAATACTGTACTGTTTAAAAGTAAACTGGAATGACTTGTAGTAATTATAAAATTAGTTCTGCTTTAGTATTTATTAATTATGATTAAATGATTTCATAGCTAATATGTTTGCCTTTACTGTGTACATGTTTTGAACGAAACGAGATACTTTTTGGCGGCGACACTTGTTGCGCGTGGGCAGCTGGAAACTTTAAAGTTCTGACTGGAATACAAGGAGCTGCTGGGATTCTGGAGAACGCCATGATACCAAAGTTACCGGTTTCAGGTTATTGCTTACGGCATCGGCATCGAGTATGTATTCCCTGGTGAAATTCTGCGAATTTAGGCTTTTGTTGGTGCGTGTAAAGTGAATGTTCATATATCGCACCGCGGCGATGCCGATACGGAAATGGTTTATTTCATTAGCCGTCGCCTCGTCGTTATGGCGTGAGACCCAAACAAAGAAACCCAAGAAAAAGATGGTCTACGAATGCGATACAGTCGTAAACAAACGAATGCGGAGACGACTTTGGTTCATGTGTTACACATATGTACATAAGCATATATAGTTTCCATGCATACGAAGATGATCTTTTGTTTATTGGAATGCAGCAAGTGCAAGGCCGGCAGTTTGACGATCTCTTGCCGTTTCTGTCCGCTCTTCACGCATAAACAATTAACAATTTACAATTAACACTGCAATGCAGCTGGGAAAAATCCAGTTGATCAACGGATCGAACGGTTGATTGATCGCCTGACGCATTAAGGTTAAGATTATTAAGTGCCAAACGATGTCATTGTCTTCCAATCGGCGGCTCTTGGCCCCGTAGGAAACGGATAATGTCTGATAGATAGGAACGACCATCGGCGTTGGAAAATTGCTTTTACAGATATGTTTGCATTGCTTCACACTCTAAATTGCTTCATTTCTGTTGGTAATTTGTTCTTCACTTTAGTTTGTACACCTTTTGAACGTATTTTTCGTAATTAATTTTTTTATTTTTGTTTTTGGGTAATTATTCTTGCCCATGCCACATTCATAAAGGCTTAGTTTATTTTTAGAAGAATTTTGTGTCTGTTTTTATAGCCTTAATTTAAATATGCGCGTTTAACAATTTAACAAACAAATTTTTAATGCTTCCCTATTACAAATGTAAAACTAAAATTTTAAAATAAAGTTGTAAAGGTGAAGAAATGTTTTTTTCTAGCATGTGGTAATGTTTTGTAAATTTATGCACTATCATTGAATTTAAGATTAAGTTATGGAATCCACGTAACCCAAGTGAGTAAGCAAGTCACCTTTTTAAAAGTGTTTAATAGCTTTCAATTTCAAGCAATTACGTCAAGTAATTTCTATAGAGCTAACGAGTGATAATTTGTTCAACTATACAATTCGGTTTGTAGATACTATATGATCTCTATTTCGTATCGTGTATATTTATTGGGTGAGCCCTGTACAACTAGTCATCCAATTGAAAAAGTGCATTTATTCCGGAGATCCCCAATCGAGAGACATCTTCCTGCATGCGACAAACTCATAAATTTTTATGGCCCCAAACGACTGTGACTTTGGGTCTGAGTCTGAATTTCCACGACACTTTCGCCGCGGGCGTTGCGTGTCGGCGGCGGCGTAACGAGCCAAAGTTGAACGTGCCGCGGGTAAAAGTTAAATGTTAAGCTGAGAATTTCCATTTAGCGGGCTTCAAGCCTAAGCACTGCCGGTTTGCGGGCTTCGGTTTCACCCATGGAAACATGAAACAATTACAAGATATTTTCCAATTGCCAAGTGGGGTTGCGTTCGCTGAACTCTCGTTTTTTTCGGAAAAGAGGGGAGCGCCAAAAGAGATTATTGCATTTTTAACGCAAAGCCTTTTTTGTAGGATTACGCGCCACACTGAAACATTTTTTGAATAATTTTCATATTCAGAAAAATATTAAATTTCCCATAAGATAGAAGGCATTTTGAAAGGAAATTAACATTTGGAAAATAAAGCAGAGATACAATTTTCAATGTAAAACAAATATACTTTAAATTCCTAAATGAGTATGGATCTTTACATATTGAATGAACTCATTTTTGGATTGTATGTGTATTGAAAAAATACAACAAAATTAAAAATTCAGATCTTTAGATCGTTTTTGCTACTGTGCATGAGCATGTTCACTGGTCTTTGAATTCGAATTCGCACTCTAGTTCGCATTGCACATAGCCTTTTTGCAATAGTTGCTCATTATGACATGTTTTTTAATGCAAAAGTCATCGCCGTATTTGGGGAATGGCGATTCCTTTGGCCAATAGTTTGTACATCGGTTATCTCTCCGATTTTTTTCCCTTGTTTAGCTTTGTGTTTCTTTAAGACTTCTTCAAGGTTGCCTCGGACTGGCTTGAGTTTTATATTTCTAGACTGGTTTTCGTTTTCGCTAAACAATTTCGTCATCGCCCGCAAAGGCAACAACAACAAATGGCAAGAAAAAATAATAAAATTAAAAGGTGGACGATCACGAGGGGGGAAGTGGAGGGGGTGGTGTAAGGGCAGAGACAACAATAAAGTCGGCAACGGTTTCAGTTCGTGACGTCTCCAAAAAGCAGCAACAACCACACATAAATCATTCGAACAAAAACTTGTAATGCAAAAATGCACTAAGCTCTCTCTCTCTCTCTCTCTTGTTTCTTTCTCCCTTTTGTTTCTGAGAGTTTGGTAGATTTAAGATGCAATTCATGCACTTGCTGTTTTTTGAATTTTATTTTATTTTTCTTAGTTTGAAATTAGAGCAACATCATTATTTATCCACTGATATTCACATTAATCACACGAATTCCTCCGCGTTTTTATATTTCGGAGACCCGGTTTGTTTAGCGGACCGTCGGAGTTGAGCGCGTTGGAACGAATGAGAGCCCCAGATGCCAGCGGAGAGCAGCAATGCTACCCCAACATCGAAAGGCAATAACAACAACAACAACAAGAGCAACAACTGCACACTGCGTCCACTTTATGGGCATTGTACACTGTTAAAACAAATGGCACATTGCGTTTGAAACATTTATGTTACATATAAAATTAAAGTTTAAAATATTGTACAAGCTTACACTTTAGTAGTAGTACTTTACAAATATGCAAAACTAAACAATGCCTAAGATCAATTTTTCACGTTTGCTCGGGGTTACATGTTTTATTGTCTTTTATTTAACGGTAAATTCAAAAAATTAAATGCATTTAAAATTTAAATTAAATTAAAGATCAAAAATGTAACATTTCGAGTAGTGTAAAATTTTTGTGGAACCTGTCGCCCTATTTGCTCTCGGAGTTTTTTCTTCACTCTCACTCTCGTTTGTAAATAGGTGGCTAATTATTCGCTCTGTTAGCTGCCCGCCTTGTTAACAATTTGGGTTCCGCTTCACATTTGGCATTTGATTTCGGGAAACTCAGACGCCGCTTGAGGCAATGTTTTGAAGGGAGCTCGGCCAATTATGCATATTAATCGAAGGCAAAGTGATTAAGCGGCCTCAACTTGGGGCAATTAAACAGTTGATAATTATCGGTTTGGGGCGATGACAGTTTTTAGCGGTGGACTCCAAGTGTGGACAGTAAAGCTTAGCCCGGACACGAACCAGCGATCAAAGCTAGCGACTGTTATACAAAGCATAAGTGCAGGGGAATACCCTGTCTATGGTAAGTTTGTCAGTTGGTTTGAATTTGTATACCAACTTAACTGAAAATCCAGTTGAGAAAACCGATTTTTAAAATTATGGTGAACACAGTATTGAGAAAATGGCTTTCTGCCTTTATAAAGAGATGTCATGGACATATCTTGAAATATTGTTTATAAGCTATTTATTATTATTCTAGTTTAAAACAATTCTTACCTATACATATTTTTTTTAACAAGGGCCAAAGTTTGTATCATGAATTCTTAGAATCTTTGCCCAAAGTAAACCACTTAAAGCGTAAGCCAGCAAAGTATGTAAGGTCAAGGGTAACACGCGATGGATTGTCCCGGACCCGCAGTAAGCACTTTCTTAGGTTCTCGAATTTGCATACTTAAAGTCACGTAACTATTTGGCTTTCTCACTTACCTTCAATGCAGCTTATCGCCTTCTTTTGTTGCAGTCTTTTGTCTCTAATGCGCTTCGACCAATCCGGACTTCGAGTGCGATGCGGCTTAAACCTTTCCCGTACACTGAAAGTGAGGAAGGTCAAGAATAAGTAAAAGCAAAATAAAACCAAAATAATACTGGTTTAATTGACTAAAAATAGTTATTGGTATGCACTTCATAATTCCACAAGCGATCAATCAAACTAACTCAACTCAACTGATCTTCGCTGGACAGCCAGCAATTGATTTCCAAGAGTACTTTGATTGCCTTTTGGCTCTCAGCGTTTCTTGAGTTTCTGTTAAGAGGCCCGACAATCTTATCAACTGATAAAAGAGGAAATTGTAGGTCAGCGATCTAATTATTATTGGAGCCCCTCGAAAGCGGGGAGAAAATTGAGCTGTCAAGTAGTTTTCAATCAGCAGCGGGTGTTGCAACTGAAAAATTAACTCTGACAAAATGGAACACAGAATGACATTGTACTAATTAAGAGCTAACAAAGAGTTCTGGAAGAGACCACTATCTGCTTACCAAAATAACTATTATATGATCATTAAGTGTTTTGTAGTTCCTAATTGTTCTTAATAATCTGATAACTTGTATTTCTGTTACCCGTCTAGATAAGCTGAGTATACTTTATGGGAAAGTATATACTTTATATATATCGTGTGACTCCCAAGTTTATAGCTAAACTGTAATATATCTTAAGCAAGCAACAACGTCATTTAGATGGATTTTATGACGGCGCAAAACAATCTACGTTGCTTTGTTTACTAGCTTACTACTTAAATTAGATTAAGCAAATGCAAAAATAACAAAATGACTAAGAGCAGACTTATTACTTATTATGTAAAATATATATTTGCTGAGTACCATAATACTTAAGATTCCGTAGTTATAGAATTTAAAGATAAAAGTATAAACCCCCACCACCTTGACCTAGATTCTAGGAAAATTTTTGGGGTCAACCTCTAGCTATAAATATATAACTATTTATACACTCGAGTGTTGCAAGCGACAATGCACCATTTATTGGCAGCCCACAAAATTGTTAACGCTCGAAACCCCTGCGACTGCCTGTCTTTAGCACTGCGATAAGATAAGGCCAACCCCAAACAAACTGATAAGCAATCTACGCAGAATGTACATATGAGTATACAGCCCAGCTGTAATTGCAATTCCACTTTTTCCGGTGGTAATCGTTGTTGCTAAACTGGGAACGAACTGAATAACAATAACATTGCGATATTGTCTTCCGATTTGCACAATTCAAATGTGTATCATTCTTCATATCCAATTGACCTAAAGACTTCGGCATGCTTTTAATGCTTTTTTATTTGTATTTTGTGATTATTCCTGTCTAAATTTGTTTTGTAAGGCTAAGTATCGTTTTTTTGTTAAGATTAGGGATATGACCAATCAAGGCTTGCAACACTTGTGTTTATATAAACTTTATAAAATATTTGCAACTTTTTGAAAAGAAAATATATATTTTTGGAAATTATAACACATTCCTATGCTTCTGAGTTATGTTTTTAACGAATGAGTCTGCCAACAATAAATATAAAATTTTTTTCAATGATTCTCTAATCTCAATTAAAATCTTATTTAAATTCCAGACCTATGAGACCTATAATTTTCACAACTGACCTTTTCTATAATCAGCAAAAATGATAAATATGATAAGGCCCTTAATCAATCTACTTGTATTAAGTGTATACGAATTTGTATATATTAATTAAGTTATTCCTAAAACACTCTATAAATACTGAATATTTTGTTATAAATCTGAAAATTTTCTTATAAATTCATTGGATACTTACACAATAAACTGGGCCTCGTTGGGGGCCGCCTCCGCCGTCGCCTGGTTCAGCTCCCCGTCCGAGATGTCCACCCAGGCGTCGCTGTTGTCACTGGATCCCGCGATCGAGGATCGCTTGTCGTGGGGCTTCCCGCTGTCCCTGCTCCCGGAACTGCTGCCCATGGAGGATCTGCATCCCACGCTGGCACTTCCGTACACCACGCACCCAGTGGCCGCCAGCGAGGACTCATACAAACTGTTGGTCTTGTGGTCCGAGGAGATGGTCAGGGTGGAGCCGCTGCTCGAGAGCTGGATGCAGCTGCCGGCGGATCCGGGATGCTGGCCACTCGTTGCCATTCGCGCCTTCCGGAAGTGTGCGATGCTCTCGTAACAGTTGGAGCTCAGCGAAATGGCATCCGTGGTCAGGGTGGCTCCTCCGCCGGAAGTGGAGGCCTTGATTTGCATGGACTCGTAGCATCCCTTGATGGTGTCGTAGATGTTCTCATCCTCCTCCGACTCCTTGGCCTCCGGCTTTGGAGGAGCTGGCCGCAGTGGCATCGGCGATTTGTTGAGCACTCTCTTGGGTTTCGGAAGTTCCGGCAGCTCATCGCGGGTGTTCCTGCCTAAAGTTCCCGTTCCCGATGGAGTTGTGGGTGTGGTGACCACTTCCTCCGAGGCGAAGGACTCGTAGCCATCGTAGGCCGAGGGATTGGCCTCCTGGGAACCTGCAATCGATTCGTAACCCTCCAGCCAGTTGTTCGGCTTTTCCTTGGGAGTGGCTGCCTCCTCAACCGTTTGGTAAATATCCTCCACAATCTCCGACTTTTTGGCGTAAATCTTGAAGAGGCTGGAGGTCTGGGTTTCAGTCTTGGTTTCCTGGTTGACAGGTGTGATGGGTTCGTAGAGGGATTCGGGTTCTGCGAGCTCCTCATTCTTGTGATTTAGCTCCTCCTTATCCAAATCTTTGAGTTTATTTTCCTGCTCCTCCTGGACCTTCATCAGCTGCTTCTGCTCCATGATCATCTGCTCACCCTCGATGGCATTTACCAACGTAACATTCACCGCCTGGTTGAGCAGGATTTGATTGTTGGAGATCTGCTTGTTGGCTGCCTGGTAGACAAACGAGCTGTTTGGCAGGATGCGCTGCTCGAAGTCATCGTTGGCAGCCAAAAGGAGTTCCCGCTCGCCATTTTCCGCCGCATTTTCGTTTAGGGGATTGAGAACCTTGAGCTTTTGATCGAGAGCCTCTAGGGCATCCAGGATTTTGGCGTCGGCTTCCAGGCAGGGCGAAATGAGCAAAGGATGCGAGGAGTCCTCCAAATCATTTGCACTTGGCTTAACCTCTTTGGGAATATCCAACCTGAAACTATCTTTTCTGGGTGTTTCCACACTAATAACTTCCTCTTTGATAATTTTATCCTTGGAAACCTTCTCTGGCAGCACATTCTCCCTAAGATTCTCCTCATCTATGGTGATTTCCTCTCTGGATCTGCCTTTTGTGGGCGAGGGACTCGCTGATTTTCTACCTTTCGCGAAGGTGAATCTGAGCTTCTCGTAAATGGAGGCGTACTTGTGCTTCCGCTGCTTCTGACGCAGATCCTCTTCTTCGCCCAAAATGGAATCCATTTCGTCATTAGATTGCTCATTCTGAATCAGCTTTTGATGATTGCTGGGCAGTGAATCAGTTGAGTTTGTCTGCTCTTTGGCGGCACTTGTTTTCAGTTCCTCGCTGACCATCGCCAATTCAGGAATAGTTCCCGCCGGCAGCTTGAGATTCCTTTTACTTCGAGGAGTCCGCGGAAGATTGCTGCTCCGCATCAGTTCGAGGTGCTTCCGCATCAGCTGCTCGCTCTTCAGTGGGACACTCGGCTTCTCCAGCTTCTCGAACTTCTTGATGTTCCGCTGAACGGTGGAGATGCGGTTCTCCTCGGGATTCTTTCCCTCCGCCGTCGGTTTCTCCACGATCTTGTAGACGTGCGTTCCCCTAGAGAGCCACACTCCATTGTTCCGCTTCACCTGTTCCAATAATCTCGCATCCTTCTGGATAATCTCGTTGAACTGGTGGGTGAGCTTGGCCACCAAACTGATGCCGCCACTGGGATTTCCCAGCGAATCCATGCTGCTTATCCTCCTCGTTGGCTGATGATGCTGATGATAGGATTTGCCAGCGTGCGTTTTAAAGCTATACTTGCGACGTCCGCCCGATCGACCAGTTGATGACGTCACTGTGTTGGGAGTACTGCTGGATGAGGGGGGAGGAGGAGGTGGAGTTCGAGTGGGAAGTTATGGAATTGTGGGTGGTGGTTTGTAGCGATTCGCAACTGCCGCCACTTTGGGCGCTCGCCGCGCTGAGACTGAATTCCTCAAGGCGATTACGCTCCCGTTTGGCCCGCAGTTCCACTCGCTCCTCCTCCTCCGCCTCCACCTCTTCCTCCTTCTCCTCGATTTGCCCCTTTGATTTTCCAACCTTATCTACGGCTGATAAGAGCTCTGTATTATACGATTTGGCTGCAGGTAAACTGCTGTCGTCACGTTTCGCTCGCGTTTCGCTGGCGTTTAAAATCGCCTCATCGGCGTTGCTTCTCAACTTAGCCTGCATTCTGGCCTGCTCGGCGTTTTTGTACTTGTAGAAGTTGTCCTTCTCCCGCTGCAATTGCAATTGTTGTTGGTGCTTCGAGTGGGAGTCCTGCAGGTTATGCAAGCTGGCCGCGCGTTTTGCTAGCGACTTTTCCGGCGAGGGCGAATCGCGTGAGTTATTAAACGCGTTGACCAAACAACTCACGCTCTTGTTTAACTTTTTCAGAGTTCCCAGCGAGGTGGAGGAGGCATTCGAATGGGTGACTGGGTGGGAGTGGGGGTGGGCGTGTCCGTGATCCTCGCTGGCACTCTTGATGCGCTTGCTCCACAACAATCGCAGAGTTTGCACACCACGGAAGTCGCGAAACGCGCGCGATTCGCAGGTGCAATTTTGATTTGGATTCGGTTGGCTATTCGGATTTTGATTGGGATTATTAGCACTATCTTTGCCGGCCTTATCGCACGTCGGCCGATTGTTGTTCTCACTGTCACTATTTACCAGCCAGTTGATAATTGTCTTTTTTGTTTTGCGTGGCGTTGTTGCTGCTGCATTTGTTGTCTTTGCTGATGGATTGCCATTGAGATCACGGCCAGCGGCTTTGGCCGCCGCATCCAAGACAGGTGACATCGCCATCGTGTTGGCTTTGGCTTGCTCTGATCTTGGCCAGAAAGCGATCACGTTCTCGGCTAACCAAGAAGCAGCCGGCCAAGATGAGTTTGCTGTTGCCCCGCGGCCTGAAACGAGAAAAAAAAAACCAGTGAGTTGAGGTGAAGAGAAAGCTCGTGAAAATCTTGTTTATGCAAATGCAAATTGGGTGCCAGCGATTATATTTTAAGGCGTGCCTCATCGCAGCAATTATGCGTGATAAGCTAGCTGGCTTGTCTTTGGCCAAATGGCAAATGGAATGTCAGGGAGTTCCCGATCTTGAACAAACACTCTGTTTAAATAAATTAGATAAAAAACTTGGTTGTGCAGCCGTCTCTAGACTCCATAATATTATACTTTAAATATACAGAAGGTTATTGCCTAATGTCTTATATGTTCGTTTTTAAGGAAGCTATTGGGTGCCAATATAATTATAGTTTGCAAGTAAAATTTTCTTTACAATTATAAAAAGGAGATATATAATTTTGCACTTATATCATGATTTGCTCTGGTATTTCACTTATTATTTAAGCTGGCAAATGCCTTTAAAATGTAATTCAAATGGAACTTAAAACATCTGAAGTTCAACAACAGCCTGTAAAATAATCGACATCTTTAGTCACACAATTAGTCACATATTTTGTTTGTTTTTGAAAAATTTTATTGTTAAGAGTTGAGACTCATAATCTAAAAAATGTGCGTTATTTTTAATGCAAACATTCATATTTAAGATAATTTTTTTCAAAGGAATTAAAGAATTCTAATATCTGTTTCCTTTCTTATTAAGTCAACAAATTAATTTTAGTGAAACGAAACGAATAAAACATTTTTCGGATTTTTAAATGAATCTATTAATATAACCAAACCAAAGCAAAGAACCAATTCGATGAAGATCTAAATAAGCCTATTGAAGAGCGGTTAAGTATTAAAAACATTTGTTCTTTTCCATTGAGAAATGCCTACAAAAATTGTATTTGCAGTCGAAAAGTCTTTACCAAAGTCATGTAATCCGCCAAACTATTTTAAGCCTCTTTTCGATTTTTGACTCACATTGGCTGCCGAAATCGTGAGCAGACATTATTTCCACAAAGTTTTCAAGGAAGCCGAGGCGAACAAAGCTTGGGCAAGCGAGAAATCAGTGCGGTGAACAACATTGCGTATGCTTGATACGCTGTGAATGCGCTGGCTTATCGCCTTGCGATCAATGTTGGCTGACAATACAGTATATAGCATATGGCATATGGAGTATGGCATATGGCATTGCACAAAACCCAGGCCACAATATTGTCTTAACGCCTCTTCGCACCTGACAATTGTTTACCTCCTCGGCGTCACACAGCCCGCCCCCTTTTCCGCCCACCACCCCCCGCACTCACGTGTTTTTCTTTTCTTTTATTTTTTTTTTGTCACACACAAACGCCAATTATAATGAGCGATTACATAAAGTCGAAACAATTTCTTCTGCCTCACATGCGGTATCGTAAAATGGCTTTTAAGCGGCTTTCGGTTAGTTCGTTAGCCGTTTTCATCTGCGCTCTTCTCCTGCTTCTTTTTTCTTCCCTTTTTGTATTTAAGTAGTATATCCATGTGTTTTTTTCTATTTTTTTCTATTTGTCACATTGCCTCGCACGCGGCAAGAATAATGAAATTAATTTTTATTTGCCATTGCAAAAAGGTTTTTTATTTAACAAAATATTATATACGAGCCAAACACTCACGCATGGCGACCAATGTAAATAAAAGAGCTCAAACTGCTGATTACGCAAACGTCTTTTTGGCCGACAATGTGTTTTTGGCATTACGCGCGTCTGGAGGAAACTGTTGGCCAAAAGCGTGTTTACCTCAAATGTCTTGTTTATTCAAAATGGAATTTTATTGGCGATTATTTGTCAATTGCAAGGCGGAAAGCAAACCGGCCGCCAAAATGGGGAAATCCAGGCGGATCAATGCCAACTGGCTGCCCAGGTTGGCTTTTCATATTTTCGGAATTTCAATCAATTAATAATACGTAAATCATATCATTATGAATTGAAAAAAAAACAGTTTTAAGTGGTTAATTAAAATACCTGATTAAAATAACAGCTAAAACTGAGTACAAATGACTTTCTAAATGAAAACTAGAAAAATATTAATTCATGTAAATATGTAAAAAATGTTCAAAAAGTAAACAATTTTAAGTAACTTTGGAAAATTGCAGAGACTTTTACTACTTCTATAAACTATAAATTTAAATATTATTTAACTTGTGTTCAAAAAAGAAACTTGTTATTTGGCTGACTTGTAAATGTAAAAGTTTTTATTATTTATCCATAATTATTAAGCTTATAACCCAAAGAAATAAATCTTTTAGCTTTCGGTTTTAGTCGCTATAGAATAATAATTTCAATGCCTTTTATATAGAGTGGACTCAAAGGCCATTCAAGCTGTGAGGCGGCGGTCAACAGCTTTTCGGCCTGGTCAATAAAAATGTTTTGCATATTAAGCAGCCCAAACCGAAAAGAAAAATGTAAACAATTGACGGCGAGACACCTCAACAATACAAAAACCGAGCTCATCTTTAGAAGAAGAAAAGACGGAATCATAAAAAAGAAACTTGATGAGCTGCACTTTTTTTAGGCTAAGCTGCAGTCAGCTGCACCTGCCTTACATTTATTATGACGATATATAGTATACTATATATCTTTAGGTATGCAAATGGCTTTCAACGGATGCAGCGTTTTGTTTGATTTCTTTTTGTTTGCCCTATCACAATGCAGCGGTCATAATTTCCAAGGGCGGGAGAAAGATTTCCCGGGTTGAGAAAGAAAAGGTATTGACAGATGGAGTGAAAGTGATAATGCCCAGCTGGCTTTGAGCCAAGAATCCGGCGATTAGACACGCGGTCAGCCAACTGATCTTGGCTTTTACATGCGAATGCGGAAGAAGATGGCAAATGAAATAACACAGAAATATTTTAATTTCGAGAAATTAAATCAAAGGAAATTTATAGCCATTTTGCATAGACTTAGACAAAAAAAACAGAAAGAAACAAAACATGCCGCCATTAGAAATGTGAAAGTTTACTTTTCCTTTTTGCTTCTCTCTATTTATTTTTTTTAGTTTTTTATTTCAAAGCTAATGAACTGTCTTCGTGATGATTTAGCGATGCTGCTGACATCTGATGAGGTGTGAAAAATATGTGGGATAATTCTGGGCTTACAGTTGGGTTGCACAATAGTATTGGTTTAATATTCCACCGATTTACATCACCACACACTGGACCCTGAACCCAAGGACCTCAGACTGTCCGGATATTGTTGACTGGTTCGCGACTAACTGATATTTGTTTTTGTTTTGGCCGCGTTGCCGTGGGGAAAATCAACCACCAAACAGCTCTTGCAGCCCTTAGCCAACTGAGGAACTGAGGGTTCTGGCTAGCAGGCTAGCAAGCTAGTAGCAGGCTGGCTAGCAGCGAGCAACCCCTAACCGTTAATACACCACTGCGTATGCTTTATATGGTAAACAGTGCTGATGGGTCGATAGTTTGCCGTATTTTCGAAGGGTGGTTCCTATTTACCACTTATGCTGCCCTCTCAAGTGCGGCATTATTCAAGCTTTGTTGCCTTTCTGGTTGAGTCTAAGTTAAATTTAATTTGCTTAAATTGATGCACACAAGTGACACAATTTATTCAGCCCGAGCGCTGCTTATCTGCCCACTGATTACAGACTGAGTCATGGGCGTAAGCTTATCGAACGGCAAATTGGGGGAAATTTGATTGACTAATTTGTATGTGAGTGTGTAGATATTGAGTAGGCACAAACATATGTTGTGTTTATAGAAGAAAAACCAGCATGCAAACGAGCATTAACTGCATTCCAAGCTCCGCTGCCTCGGCGCCAAAGAACCGCAATTTTAAACTTCAGACTGAGACTACATACGTTTTGGCCCGGGTCTAAATCTTGGACTAGGTCTATGGCTATAACCGCGTAAGGCACAGAGGCGTATAATTAGCGTGCAGCATTGGCAAAGTGAAGCTAATGGAACCAAACAACACAACGCAGCACAGCACAGAAACATGGCCACGGAACATGGCTAACCGTAATTCTGAAACCGTAAGCGACGATTCCGAATCCGAATCCGAGTCCGACATGACATGGAAGAAGAAGAGGTCAGTTCGGAGGCCAATTCAGCTGAGAAGTGTGCGAATACGCGGAATAAACGGAAAACACACCGTCAACGTCAACGTCTGCGGAGTTAACAGTTAAGTCATGCCATTAACTGGCCAAAAAGAATGCGTTGAAATATGATTTCATTTAATAACCAGTTGACAACACTTCACCGCAGCAAATACGAAACGAAGGAAAAGTTGCGAAAAAGTTAGACGAACACTAAGCTTAAATTAAAATAAATTTAAAATTCTTCTTTCGTGAATAAATATAAATTAAATAAAATGATGAAAGATAAAACTTAAATTGAGAGTACATAAACATTTGATTATACAACATTCCAAATGTGACTTGAACCATAAAAATAGCTTGGAATTTATAGAGTTAGGATATCAAATTGAAAATTCCTTTTTTTTAATCTAAAACTAACATTTATTTCTCACTATAAACAACTCCTTTCTCAATCGATTAAACTTTTGCATGTGTATGTAAATTTTACTGCTTACTGCTTGTATAAAATGAACCAAATTCCATTTTCTTAGAAAAAAAAGTAATTAGATCTCAATTCAGTTTAATTACCATCAAATTCGGGTTCACTCGATCTAATCCCAACGGAAATCGAAGTTTTAGCCAGGCGATCGGAGACTTAGAGCCTGTTCTTGGTGAAATTTCGCTTCTACCGATTTGGTATGTATGTATGTGGAATTTGCCAAGTGGTTTGGCTAGATTCTTTCAAGAGCACACTAGCACCACGCAGATTTTCTTGTGGGCGTTTCACTTTTGCCAGCTTTCATTTCACTCTGGCCTCAAGAAATTAGCCAATTTGGTGCACTCGTTTCTGAGCTATTGCACTGTCGCCACCGATTTAGCATATGCCCTATTGCACATTATCTTAAACCATAATAAGTTCGGTTCGAGCCGAAAACACAATCAAACACAAAACACGCGCTGAGGAGTGCCGAGAAATAGTTGGAGAGCACCGCAGCAACTCCAAACGTCTCCATCGACCGACGACCGCAAAGCAACTGACGAGTGCTGCTGCCGCCGTCGACGTTGCTGCCGCTACTGACGCTGCTGCTGCTGCTGCTGTTACAGTGACACAGCAAAAAATTTCATTAGGTTCCATGATTTGTTTCTAATAAAAATTAATCATTACATTTTTTGACTAACCCGTTTAAGCATGAAAAATAAACAAGAAAAAATGTCATTATGATAATAACAAAATATTTAATATGTAGTAAATACAAACTTATATTGATGATAGTCAGATCGAAAAATAATAAAAAATTTTATAATGTTACAGTCATGCAATAAGTTCAAATCTACTTAAAATTATTATTTCTATGTGGGAAACTAGCAACTCAAACTTTTTGTTAGGTATTCAATTCAATATAAAATATTAGAGGTATTCTTTTCAATTTGCGTGGCTAGTCTATATATTTTTCCCGCAGTGCACTGCAACTCCGGTTGGGAGTCGTGGATCTTGGATCGTGGCGTTCGTCTCGCATTCTTGTGCATTGGCTTTTGGCGCTGCATTTTGTTCTGATTCTGTGTCTGCTTCTCTTCCTCTTTCTCTTTCTTTTGCCGTTTCTGCTGGCTAACTTTTCCCCGACTGCCAATTGCATTTCTCCGCAGGCATGCGACCCACAAAAGAGGATTTGGATGCGGGATCCAAAGATTCTGGCGGAAGAGCCACAAAGAATCGCTTGTGCGCGTTCGTTCACACTGGCTGTGGTGGCTTTTAATTAGGCAAACAAATTTTAATTAAGTCGCAGCGCCTCTAATTGATTTGGCAGCAACATTAATTCAGGGTTTGGCATGTCTGCAGTGTGTAAATCTCTTCTTTGAGGCGCCTGGGAAGCGGAAACTGGTTTTCTAGCCCCACGAAGATTGAATGATTCTGCAAAGATTGCACTCCCCAAATTTATATACTTCAATCAGTGCCCATCAATCGACACGAATCGGTTAAGCCGCTGTTAACGAAACCGGTTCAAGTTGGGAAACTCAATACCAGTTCTTGTCCAAGTTCAGCGGAGTCGAAAAGAGACGGCACAAAAACAGAAACACAGAAAAGTCAGTGCAAAAAGTAAACAAAAGCAAGTAAACAAAATACAAATTAAAAGCAGCGCGCCAGCGGATCCAAAACAAATCAAATATTTAACGGCTGTTACGGCGCGAGTGAGCGGGATGGCCTGCTTTGGGGTGACCATTTGCCGCTGTTAAAAAGCAATAACATTTTAACCCATTGTTCACATTCATGTTAAAAAAGAACAGCAATTCACAGTTATGGAGTTCGAAATTCAAAAATATAGAAAAAAAACAATATCATTCTGATCATAGAAAAAATAAATTATTTTTTGTTTGGTGGTTTTTAATGCATGTGTTTAAAAATTCCCAGCTTTAATATTACTCATTTGTTGACGATCTATATTAATCACAAGCATGAGTAGCATATGGCATATGTATACAACTGAATATAATAAAACAATATTTAAGCTCACATTTAATAATTTATGTACATACTGCAAACAATATTATTGCAAGAAATAAGAAAATATACAAAACTAACAAGCTCAAATATCGCGTGCGAAACTACGAATAAGTTATTCATAAATACGTATATTACTATGATTACTTAATAGAAAGAGGGGCTTGTGAGAATGCTTTTTAGGAAAAGTTGTTACTGTGTAAGTCAAAGCATTTTTAAAAACGATATTTAAAATATTTTTTTAACCATGGTTTAGTAACCCAATAGCAAGAAGGGTGTTAAGAAACCCAAGGTGGAAGTGGCACAGAGTTACAAGGAATTTTAGAATTTCGTAAAGTTTCGACGTGCACGAAAAACTCAAAATCTGAGCGACCTGCAAACCTGGTTTTCGTTTTCATTTTCCTTTTCATTTCCATTCAATGCAATGCGAAAAACAGCAGTGAAACACTTTGAAAAACGAGGAAAAAAACGAAAAAAAGCTGAACGCCCATACATGGGCTTGTCAGCGCAACCGCTTTGTACTTGAGTGGATGGGTGGATGGATGGATCATCGTCATTATGATGGGGGTAATCATCATCTGGGGCTGTTTATGAGGCTGGAGCACCCGGTTATTTGGTTGCCACATGTGGCAGCCCCGTTTCCACAACAGACACTTGTTGCCCGCCGTATCTTCGCATCTGTATCTTTGTATCTTTGTATCTGTCTCTGTAATTTGCATTAAGTGGCTGATTTTCCTTCGGCTGATTTCGTTTTCGTTTTAATTTCTGTTGTTTTTTTTGGGGAGGTTTTGGGCTGGGTTTTGGTGTTGGGGCAACGGGGCGTATGCGAAACAATGCCCATTAATCACCGGCAGCTGCGGTAATGCAAAACTTTAATTATCGTAACCATTTCAGCTGACGAAACTGTAGCGTAAGAAAAATGCCAACTTCTTCTCTTTTTTGGTCTATTTAATTTATTGTACAACTGTTGAAAGAGAGAGAGCAGAGCAGAGATGAAATCTGGGCGCGGAAAATAAATCTAAAGCACTTTCCAACTGTCATCAAGTGTCGCATGTTGCATGTTATTTTTTATTTTTCTTTTTTTGCAACCCCCTGCGAAGCGAAACAGAGTGAAAATCTAATGAAAAAGGTAGTGAAAATAGGTATTTGAAGATTAAAGCCGGCTTAGTTGGCCTTGGCAGGGGTCTTCGGGTTTTCGTGTCCCCATCAAAGCCACAAACGTGATTTGTTCAGAATTAAATCGGAACCACGTACGAACAATGGTCTGTGGTCGTGGCCGGTTGCCCGGAATCGTGTTTAATCATTAAAAACAAAGAGTCCCCATATCAAACAGAAGTACAGAATTAACTGCAAGGGGAAAGTGAGCCAATGTGTGGCGAAATGATTCAGCTTTCAAGGAAATGTGGTAAATGTGGTAATCTTGTGCGTACTAATTCCCGATTACATTAATCAGCTTGTTTGTAAGATGCGCGAATTCAGCGATTGAATTCTAAAGTTAGTAAGGATGAACTGTTTTTTAAACGAACAAGAGATATAATTGAAATAAGTTCTGAAAATAACAAAATAAGTAGAACTTTGCGCTTTAAATTCTGCATTCTTCTGTACTGCTTTTATTTTTACCATCGCAGGTAGGTCAAAGTAGGACAAGCAAATTTAAATATATTTTTATTCAGTAAACAAATTAAAAAGTGGTAGATTTTTCTTACTAAAATACATAAAAATTAGCCTACATAATAAAAACCTAATTTAAAGCCCTTTGGCCATTCGAAAATTTCCCTTTAATTTGTACAAAAAATATGTTAATTTTAAGAGCTTCTTTTGCGGTTCCATCTCATTATAGGAATTGCTTCGGGACTTCTTTCTCTCGATCGGGTAACCAGTTTGGATCTCTTATTCATGGACAGGTGATGTCTCATCGATGTTTTGGTTCGATCAACGAACTCTCTAGGCCAAATTTGACTTTGACGTTGGAACTTTGTATCATCTTAGTATTTGCATGAGCACCTCCGAAAATCGCCCACACACTTAGGGTGACACAGTTTATTCAGCAATGAACTATATAGAATGCTTGACATGCCACGAAAAAGATATTGAACGTGAAAACGATCGTCTCACGACCTGCGATCTTGGCCAAATGCCGATTGCATATCAATTAGGGGAATTTCTCGAGCCAAAAAATATTGGCCAGCCCCGAAAACGAAAAGAACCTGCTGATGAAGCCTGACAGCTTCATTGGCATTCGCGACTTCAGTCAGCGACCGATCGATTAAGTCAACATAATTTACGGTGCAGTTTTCACAGCGAAAATGTCACCAGGTATTTCAGATATGGCGATGACGCGTTTGTTTCTCCTATTGTAGTTTTTTTTGTTAAACTTTAATATATTATTATGCATTTTTTGCAACGTTAACTGCTGTTGGCCGAGCTACAAAGTTCAATGGCTGGCACGTTGAATGCATTCGTCAAGCAACTGGCCCAAAGACATCGTTGCACGTGTAATAAATATTACAAATATATCTATTTCAACCATTTTGTGATTTTTGTAAAAGCATGCATTTTATAAAAGAGAAAAAAATATATACTCAAAAAATATTATAAATAATTTCAGTTAATTTCTGGTGATAAAGAATCAATTACTATGTACATATGTTTATCAATATATTTATGTGTCATAAAATATATTTTTAGATTTTTTCTTTTGCTTTTTTAAAGAGAGAACATTAAGCTTTGGGGAATTTAGATATTTGACTATAATATATGAACTTTACTAAGAAAAAAATTTTGATTAGTAACAAAATATAAATAAATAGCGTAGGTAATTTCCCGCAGTGCTTCCGGTGGCCACTTGAGTAAGAGGAATTTTTGTGCAGCTCTGTCTACAGGTTTTGACCAGCATCAGCAACGCATTTGGGCCATGAGTCACGGATTGGGCCTGAGGAATGCCAGGGAAAAGTCCCCCAGACTGGGCTAATTCCGACCAGGGTTGTCAGCGCCTGTAAGCTGCACCTACGAATTACAATTACGAGTATCTTTGGATCTGGGCATCTATTTGTATCTGCAAGCTACAAATTCAAATTTACGCCCACACAGCTGAAATTCGTGTGCGGCGAAACGTGGGCGTGGACTCTAATTATATGGCCAGTACTTAGACATCTGACAATTGTTATGCAAAGAAGCTGATCTCAAGATGGCAACCCCTCTGAGATCATGTGAATGAAAATGGAAAGTGGTTGGCCCCCTGCGAGCTATAATCTTTGGGTATAATTTGCCGACTGCATAACTAACAGAGTTATTATTTTGATTTCTTCTTTGACGACAAAAGCGAAACGGAAGCCATGACCAGGCCACTCCACTTTGTACAACTCAATTTAGCAGACATTGCAGAATTACTCTCGTCACAATCTCGTGTGTGTAAACTGGTATTTGCCTTGTAATGAGGCCGGAAGAAATCGCGGTAATTGTAACGGTGACTACGACTCAAAGTCGGAGTCGCAATGAAATGGAAACTGGTGGTGCAACTAAGTAATCCGTAGGTAATCAAAGGCAGGGCCCAGGGCAAATCCAACATGCGTAAGTTAGATGTAAATAAAAATGGCCGATGCAAAACAGATCACAATCCATTGGTAAATTTTTAGAATAAAAAAAAATCATTGTTCTTTTAACCCTTCAGAAAAATATAACTGAACAAAAAATATTTAATGTGTTTTTTCGTAACAACTTAAGCTCCAAGAAATCAAAGAGTAACTTATAATGAAATTTGGGTCAACTAAAATAAATGTTATTATACATATGTTAACATTAAAAGATACCATAACAATATTTGTTTTGCTCTTTGTAAGACGAACAAGAAATGAGTAATGGATACTCAGCAGAACCCAGTTTCATAACGATGCTAATCAATCTTTCACTTTTCGGTTCCTCCCCTCAATTCGCCGGATAAACAACTTTCAAAGAGAGTAAAGCCCGACCTTTATTTGCTTTTGGCAGCTTTCTAACTGCACGGCAACCAAAGCCGTAAATTGGCAAAGAAGGGCGTAAAAAAACACAAAAATCAAAGAGCTCAAGAAGTGTAATAAAAAATGTTTAAAGCTCTCAAAGAATCGAGTGATGTTATCTTGTGCACATATGTACTGGAGAAATTATTGTTTTTCCAAGAAAACTTCCGATAAATCCCCGCACTTATCAGTAACAGAGTTATTTTTATTATTTGAACTGTGCAATTGCATGTAGGAATGGTCTTATCAGTTTTCTTTTGTTCAGTTAACTTACATTTTGAGGCAGTTTATTTCGCTTGTATTCTTGTATTCCAAATCCAATATTTGCATCCAAAGTGCTCAATTAGCGGGGCTTTAAATCAATCAATTTATGTGTTCACTCTTTTCACTGTGTTATGCTAATAAGCCAATTCCATTGTTATGTAAGGAACCGACGACTGGGTATTATCTTTCACGCTTTCATACACAAATCAACCTTGGCGTATTATCATTTTATCTATGCTTTTGCGACTGGCGAATCCGTTGTGCACTTTCGCGGGCAGAAGCCGCTAAAACCGAGCGCTGCCCCACCGAACACTTGCCACATTTTTCACTTTTCTGCTTTTCCACTTTTACTTTTCTAATTATTTATCCAGTCGATTGCAGAGTTGCAGCACTGGCGGCGATCAATCACATTACTCAGCCTCTTTCTGGGGCTTCGATAACAATTGGACGTGGAGAAGTGCGGAATGAGCAACCGATTCGAACCAAACCGAACCGAACCGCGCGCTAATGGAGCTCGTCGGAGGTTGATAGCTGGACTGCGACTGAAAACGAGACTGAAACGGAGACCGGAGACGCAGACTGATACCGCCGGATCGGTTTGGGGCTTCGTTGGATACGGAGCGGAGGGAAGGGGATCGGCTGGATGGATGGATCGCCGACAGCGAGAGCGTGCGAGAGTGCGCAGCCATAACAATGGGGCTGCGCCGCCGAGCTCCGAGTTCGGTAGCTTTGGGTCAGTCGCCCGAAGGCCCACATTCGGACAAGAATCGGATCGGTCACAGGGTGACTCGGGCAGAGAGCTTTCGCGGGACTTCTCGCCACTTAGCGGTTGATGGTAAATAACTGTCCTCAATTCAAGATTCTGTTTACTCTTCGTGGAGTACTTATCGTGGTTTTGCGCCCTTTCTGGGGATATTATCGAATATTATGTACCCTATGGTATGCAGATTTCGATAAAGTGGTTTGATCATGTTACACTATTTACAAAGAAAATAAGAAAAAAGATTTATATTTTTATTTAAGAAGTTTTACTCTAAGTAACTAGAATAATAATAATAACCGAAAATGCAAAACAAAAACAAAATTAGCTAATCTTAAAAAAATTAAATACAATTTATTATTATACAAATCTATTTTTTGTGTTTCGTTGACCTGTAATTCGTCTAAATAGATAAGCAATAATAATATGTATATAAATTCTGCTTCAAAAAGAGCGTTTAGAAACTGAAGCTTTTCTGTTTTTTCCCATTTCTTGTAGCAATGCAAAATACTTGAGTCAACAAATAATAATAAAGAATTCCAGACACGTCTTTAGCCTCTGATACACTTTTACACACAATTAACTGGCAACCGCACAAGAGCAGCTCCAAAAGAAAGACACTCTTTTGAGCGATCGCCGGAGGAGTTCCTACGGGGCGACATGAAAAAATACTGTCAACATTAGAAAGTAAGGCAAGAGTGAGGCAAAAACTCTGCCGAAGATGTTCAATGAAATTGCTTTTGCGAGGGGAAAGAAATTGACCAAAAGTGAGCACTTTGCCTGCCCAATTGGCGATGTCCAAGTTGTCAGGACAGGAAGATCTTGGCTCCAACTTGCAGATAGCCAGATAGCATGTGAAAGTACGCATAGAATGATGGAGCAGTGAAAATGGAAAATGCTCAACGGGCCAGTCTGCCAACTTCCTGTAGAAAATCTAGTTGATGTTATAAAAAAAAAAGAGGAAAATTGAAAGCAGAAACTGGTTCCTGAGGCGCAAGACATCAGTTCTTTTGACCAGAAGCTGTAAGAGATTTCCCCCCTTTAATAATAAAAGACGTTGTGTACCATGCTTTATATAGTAAAGTGTATTCCTTTTGAATCGTAGTATCCCCACATTTTACATAAACTTCAAACTCTTTTCTTATCAGGGCTCTTGAAAACTCTCTGCCTTGTGTTATATTTGATTTTAACATTCTACTTACTTACTTGGTGCAATGTTGTGATTTATCTTTTGTTAGTAACATTAAAATGTTGAGTTAAAGTTAGATTTTCGACAATGTCGCACACACATACTCTCTCTTTATGTCCGTTCTCTTTGTAAAATAGTTATGTTCATTTTGTTTTTCTTGGAAAAGTTGCTCGAATGCCTGGTTTTCCATAAACTTTATCACTCTACAGTTCAATATTTTATATTGGTGCGAGACAAAGTGCAATATTTATTTTTAATATACATATATAGATTTTGTTTTGTAAATATTTTGAGAGGGTCCTGATTGGACTCCGTCCGTGGATCAAAAACAATTAAAGCATTTTTGGCTGCATTCAGATGCGCTTCATAAAGGGTTTCCAAAAAAATAAAACACGCTTTGCTTGAATTCCAAACACAAGTTGTTGAGAATCGAAATCAAAGCACTGAAGTCGATCTATATCCCTGATAGCGCCTCCTCGATCGGCGATGAACTAAAGCACAGCTCTGTTGGTTTGTCATTGTTTAGTATTATACTTGTTCATTTATTTAAACAAAAATGTGTAACTTAGGCAAACAAAAACACTAAATGATTTCTTGGCCTGCGATCGATCATCAAGGTGTTAAAATTGTGTTCAGCAGAGCCCTTTCGCGTGGCCTGAGATAGTTTAATTATATATAATACAATAAAATAAATATTAAACATAGGAATACGAAATAAAGTTAGAAAGGGTTTTATTCATTCCGAAAGGTATAGTGATCCTCCTATGCGGGCTTGCTTTACTCCAAATATATGCGCATAGAGTTGGCTATTTACTAGAAATTGGATCTTAAGATTGCATTTAAGACTTGCTGTGAGTGGTTGAAGTATTTTTTTGTTTTCTTTCGCGTTTTTTGATTGTTCACTAAACACTAAATATTTCGTGTTATTTGTTACTTGGTTGCCGTTTGCTCTTGTAATTTCACTAAACTAATATTTAACATTTCATTACTTTCACACAATGCTCTTAACAATTTCGTCAGCAAAAAATCGTATCAAAGAGTCTGCATACGTTTCAATACAAAATATAATCGTAATTAATATTCATCGTCTCAATCTCCATCTCCATCTCCTCTCATCATCATAACTATCGAGTCTACGCCTCCTTAGGTTGAAATCGCGTCGTTGAGCAGCGCGTTCAGCTCCCGGATGTGCTGGGCCTTCGATCCTGTGGCGGTGGAAGCTCCGCAGGCACGACCAACATAGCTGCGGATAATCCATAAATCGGGGATTAGTTCGGATTACTCGAAATATCGGGCGGTGAGTTCACACAACATTCAGTATTCGATTTGTGGAATCGGTTAGACACGTGCACTAAACTTTAGCCTAGTTTCTTTGATCGATTTTAGCACAGTTATGGCAAATGTTCAATGAAATGGGGGTTAAGGGGTTATATACCTTTTTCAGAATCAAAAAATCGAAAAAAATTTTATGATTTTTTTTTGATGTACATACTTTCAACAATTTTTCTGCAAAATTTTTTAGAGATCGGGGCACTAGAACCTAAGATACAGCCGTTCATAGCGCACGGTGTGCATGACTACCTAATGTCCACCTAAAACTTTAAACGCGATTATCTCGGAATCGCATTTTTGAGAAAAGGTCATTGCGGTGAGCACGATATCTCGGTAACCACTACATCGATCGATTTGAAATTTTGGGGGATTGTTTGTAGATACAATAGCTAGTTCGTGAACGAAGGAATTTTATTTTCGACAAATATTTCTATTTTTTTGGGGCGAAAAACTAAATTATTAGACCTCGAAAAATCGGTTTTTTTGAAAAAATAATCACTGTAACTGTAAAAAAATTTTTTTCGTAAAATCCTTCGTTCACGAACTAGGTAACACTATATACTAACGTAGTTTTTTTGTTTTTTTTTTTTTTCGTTGAGCCGTTTTCTTGTTTTCTTGCTCACCGCAAGCCTCTAATGAAAAAAGGACTTCTGCGGCAAGGACTATAACTTCCACAATTCTCAAAATTTTCACTCAAAATTTCAGACGAATTAAGTTAAGGACACGTACTTTGATAAAATATATATTGAATTTAAATAAAACAATGGCAACATGCTAAAAAAAAATAAATAAAAACCCTGTATTTCTCTGGTCAAAAAGGTATATAACCCCTTAAGCAAGCGCAGGGTGTTACATATATAGATTAAAATGGGAGGAGATCTTAGGTCGAGAGTGTGTGGTGTATGGGTAAACCACACCCAACCCCAACAATGAAATGGACCCTTCGAGAGTGGAAAAATCATTTGGACTGCAATCGTAAATCTCAAGCTTCCATAGCAAACTGCCTAGAAAGGGGATGGCTTAAATATGAGATGTCTGCTTACAAGCGCTAAAAATATCTACTTTGTAGCATGTTTTGCGAGGCATATAGACAGCACTTTGGACATACAGATACAAATACAGATGGCAGGACGAAATGGGTTAAATTAGAGCAGTACAGATGTTGGGGTTAACTGTGGTTATCTCGTTTTTTGGACAGGGGACTTGCAAACAGCCAGAAAAAAAGAGGTAACTTATCAAAAACAAATGCAAAACTTTCGAAACGAACGCGGGGTGCAAACAAAAACTCTGGACTGGAAAATAAAACAGTGCTCGGGGATTAGAAAGAGGGTTAGATAGTTGAGTTGGAGTTAAGAGTAGTGGGTAGTTCGGTGTATTGTTTTCTCCATAAGAGGGGCGGGGACCATGAGGCGCTAGACCATGGAACAAACATCATGCCAAGCAACATAAATCAGAAACGCAATCGAGGCAACGGGAACGAGGACACAAATGAAAAGTTAACGGAACTGAGAGTTAATTTCCGGTTTGGTAGGACAGTTATGTTGCAGATAGTAGTGGTTTGTAGTAGATTATGCTGATTAGATAGATTAATTGTAGATATAGAGTTTTATAGATCGCGCGCATCGTAGCGGAGCCGAGGTGGCCCTCTCACCTAATTTTGCGTCCGGATTTCGCTGTGCGTCCGCCCGGAGCGGCAGCGATGCCCGCGGGCCTATTGAAATCGTGTCGCACGTGCTTTAAATCAAAGTGCTTGGCGGCCAGATTGGTGGCCACCAGTGGATCCTTGGGATCGCCACCGTTCGTGTTCGTGTTTGAGGCGGCGAACATGCGACTCAGCCAGGGTTTCGACTTTTGATCGGAGTTAGAATCGGATTCGGATTCGGTGGCGGATACGTTATTAGTATGATCGGTAGTAGTGGTAGTATTGGAGGAGGATTGCTCATCGCTTTGGCTGTAACAATAACACATACACAGAGAGAAAGAGAGAGAGAGAGGATTTGTTTTTGGTTGCTTTTTTTTTGGTTTTCGTTTTTTCGTGGGTAGTTTCGAATTTTTCAATTTTATCTTTTGGTTTTGCCAATTGCTCGGTACATATTTACACAACGGGTGGATGGGATTCTGGGGTTTTAAAAATAACACAACTGGTTTGCTCGTCTTTTACAAGTTTCGATTAGTAAAGAAAGATAACTCAGAGGTTAAACGAAATCATAAATAATAAGCCATGCAAAGTAATCATGAATTGGATGATATATCGAATGGTTAAAGCCAATTTGCTAATGGATTCGCTTGGAAAATCTTCGGTAATACAAATTTCAGTGATTCAATTTCATTTTGGTGGTGACAATGATTCGTTTTCTTTTGCGGTGCTGGACATGCTCATCCAAACGAAAGTTTAAATCAGAAGCGGATATCAGTTTATGAGTCTTTCAGTGTTTGTGTGGAGGTGTTTTATCACTTCTAGGGTTCGAGACTAGCTAATAAGGTAGATAGATAGATACAAAGAGGTGGGAGAGTGATAAAAACCGCAGTTGGGAGGCAGGTGAGGGGTGAGAGGAAGCTCGAAGTAAATTAAAACTAGCTATAGCCGTATGATATTCGCTTATCAATGGTGAGATACTATGAATTTTTACTATATGAATATTTAATTCAAAAGGTTGGTAAATCAAAAAGTATTTATCTGTAAATACACTTTATATGATAACTGAAACTCGTCACTTATTATGTATCTATAGGTTTTGCCCTTAAAATTAGCTAGTTATTATACGGCCACGGCAGTTAAAAAATAGCGACAGCGATGAAAAATGAAAAGAAAGTCAAATCAAATGATAGGTTAATGCAAAAGTAGTGAAAGAAATGCAAAGGAGAGTAAGATATTGAGAGAATCAAAATAAAAACTGATACAGTGCACGATGAGTATAGTGCACACTATAAAGGAGATTATAGATAAACTGAGACTGGAGAAGAATCGGAGCCTAAAATCAGGGTACTTCTTTGGGTGCTGCTGTTTTTTAAGTAGGTGGACACCAGTGGGTTGATCTTAAGTGATGATTCTAACACCTACCTGACATCGCGACCGTGGTTGAGGGCGGTGAGGAAACGGGGCTGCACGTAGGTCCAGCTGCCCTGGTTCTTGTGCTCCTCCTGGGCCCAAACGAGCTCGGCGTTCTTGTACAGGTTGGCCTGCTCCTTGACCAGATCGAAGGGGAAGGGAGAGATCTGCATACCAAGCATTGATTAGTAAATATTTTTAAAGAGTTTAAAAGCCATAAGGACTCACCTGCTCCACGCGCACAATGGCGATCTCGCTCTCCAGCTTCTTTTCCGCACGCGTCTTGGTCAGATCGTAGTAGACGCGGCCCGAGCAGAAGACGACCTTCTTCACGCTGCTGGGATTCTCGCCGGCGGGTCCGTTGTCGGGGATGATGCGCTGGAACTCGCTGCCCTCGCTCATCTCGCTGAAGGGGCTCTTGGCCTCCGGGTGGCGCAGCAGCGACTTGGGCGTGCACAGGATGAGGGGCTTGCGGAACGGCAGGGCGATCTGGCGACGCAGGATGTGGTAGTAGTTGGCGGGCGTCGTGCAGTTGGCCACGATCCAGTTGATGTCGTGCAGCTGCCGCACACCGAACTCATCGGACTCCGGGGGAAGTAGTCGGGATCGTCGCTGCTCATCTGCAGGAAGCGCTCCACGCGGCACGAGGAGTGCTCCGGGCCCATGCCCTCCATGCCGTGGGGCAGCAGCATCACCAGACCCGACTGGCGCACCCACTTGGACTGGCCGCTCGAGATGAACTGATCGATGATCGACTGGGCCGTGTTGCTGAAGTCACCGAACTGGGCCTCCCACAGAACCAGTGCGTTGGGGTTGGTCATCGAGTAGCCGTGCTCGAAGCCCAGCACCGCGTACTCCGACAGCGAGCTGTTCGACACGGAGTAGGGCGCCTGGTCGGGGTACATGTGCTGCAGCGAGTTGTAGGTGGCCTTGTCCACCAGCTGGTGGTGCAGCACGTGGTGCCGGTGCGAGAAGGTGCCGCGCTCCACGTCCTGTCCCGAGAGGCGCACGTGTATGCCCTCCTTTAGCAGGGAGCCGAAGGCCATGGCCTCGCCCAAAGCCCAATCGGCGATCTTCTCGTCCACCATCGCCTTGCGGGCGGCCAAGACACGCAGCAGACCCCTGGAAACAACAATTGTAATATTAGTTATAAAGAAAATTTATTTAAATCCAGAAAAAAATAACATGTTATATAATAAACTAAAGAATTCAATGTTCTTACTTATTTCTTATTTAATAAATAAGCTTGACTATAGCATTTTATTAATCGTTCTATTTAGAAGTACAATCTTAACTTCATAAAAAACGTGCTGGTAGATTTTTGTTTAGAAATGTTAATTCTTATCGCTTTAGGCTAAGACGTATTATAAGCTTTTTTTCGAGACACACTTATACAATTATTGGGTCGTAAAACAACGATTTGATTAACACAAACAACAAATAGGCCTATCAAAGAGTCTACTTTTAGAAAAGACTGTAAATTCTTTTTCACTGAACAAAGCAATGAATCGTAAAACAAAATTGGACTATAGCATTTAAATGATTTCAACACTTACTTGTGGATCACGAATTCAGCGGCGTTCGGGGGCGGCGACGAGAAGCGGTTGCCGATGTGGATGAGGGTCTCCTCCTTGACTCCGGTGGGCGCCACCTTCAGGGGGTCCTTGCCCTCGAAGAAGCCGGACCAGGGCGAGTCGAGCCAGTCCTTGTACTTGACGTGGGTCTCGGTCTTGGCCAGGGCGAAGGCCTCCTCGCAGATGTTCTCGTACTTGGCGGCCACCGACTTGACCTCCTCGCCGGTGACGGTTCCCTCGGCGATCAGCTTGTCGGCGTACAGATCCAGGCAGTTCTTGTGCTTGCGGATCTTCTGGTACATCAGGGGTTGCGTGAACATGGGCTCGTCGATCTCGTTGTGTCCATTGCGACGGTAGCCGACCAAATCGATGACACAGTCCTTGTGGAAAGTGGCACGCCACTCGGCGGCCACCTTGCACACATGCATCACGGCCTCCGGATCATCAGCGTTGACGTGGAAAATGGGGGCGTTGACCACGCGGGCCACATCCGTGCAGTAGGGCGAGGACCTCGAGAAGCGGGGATCGGTGGTGAAACCGATCTGGTTGTTGGCCACCACGTGGATGGTGCCGTGGGTGGTGTAGTCGGGCAGGTCCGACAGATGCATCGTCTCGTAGACAACGCCCTGGCCGCAGAAGGCGGCGTCTCCGTGGATGAGGATGGACATCACCTTCTTGCCCTCCTGGTCGCCGCGGTAGAACTGCTCGGCACGGGTCTTGCCCTGCACCACGGGATCCACGGCCTCCAGATGAGACGGATTGGCCACGACGGCCAGGCGGATGTTCTTGTTTGTCACGCGGTTCAGACGCTCGATGTAGGTACCCAAATGGTACTTGACATCACCAGAACCCTAAAAAGATATCCCATTATATATCTGGGTAGGCATTGTTCCGCATTCAACTCACATCATCGGCAGCCTCCAGCCCAGCGAACTGGGTGAAGATCTGGTTCAGCGGCTTGCGGCACACATTGGCCAAGGTGTTGAGGCGTCCACGATGGGGCATGCCCATGATGACCGACTCCACGCCCAACTCGGTGGACACATCGATGATCTCCTTCAGAGCTGGGATCATGATCTCGCAACCCTCCAGACCGAAACGCTTCTCGGAGGAGTACTTCTTGGCCAGGAAGGCCTCGAATCCAGTGGCACGGGTCAAACGGGCGAGAATCAAACGCTTCTCCTCCGGCGAGAAGTTCAGCACGCCGGGAGTCTCGAAACGCTTGCGGATCCAGTTGCACTGCTCCAGGGAGTTGATGAACATGAACTCCACGCCAATCTTGTTGCAGTAGACATTCTCCAGGCGGTTCAGGATTTCCCTGAGTAATAAAATAATTGTTAACAGGTTGCTTAATCAGTTTTTAAATGGATTACTTACTTGAGTGGGAGGGAGGCCTCATCGCCTCCAATGAAGGTGGTGCTGGGCAGCTTGAACTGGCGCTCCATGTCCTGCTCGCCTGTTTTTTTTTATCATTACAATGGGTGGTAACAAGTGGGTAAGACTTTAGTAAGGTGTTTTAATGGTTGTGACAGAGTGATGGGTTAGTAAATCAAAGGCAGCGAATGTTGGTTTGAAATTCGGAGTGTAATGTTCTTTTTTTTTTGTTGCTTCTATTCGGGGTGTTCGTACATAGAAATGTTTAAATCGGGTTCGGATGCTCATGCTTTTCTCGGGATTTAACTGGTTTCTCCCCTGGACACTTTATTGGACATGCATTAGACACTATCGGTGACAACAGAACTTATTTTTTTTCTGATGGGATCGTAATCACTTCATTTGCAATCAGACTAAGTGGGGCTTATCAAACGATTTCCCTTCGTTTCGCTTGTGAAAAACAAAACAATCATGCAATCAAATAATGACACAACGAAAATGTTGAGATATAAAATATTTAAACCTATTGGCACGACATCCAATAAACAACAATTAAAGTAATGAGGCATAAGTGAGTGCAAACGATGTAACACAAAGTTTTGGCAATATATAGCGCATATTTACTTGGTTCTATATATCATTGGATACATTTGTGTGGTTGGTTGGGTTTGATTTTCGATTTTGATGCCGGGGTTCGTGTGTGTGCGGGTGAAAGACAGAGAAAGTCACTAACACAATATTCGATTTCGATTTTGAGGTATGTACGAGTATATTTACAAATCAAGGGTTAAGGAACTCAAACTGTTTTTATGAGCTGGTCAAAAATTGCCAGGTGTTTCGAGCGACGCCGAGAAGTTTACTTACCGAAACTGAAATTAGCGTAAATGGTTTTCGTCGAGGAGTTGCCAGGCAATTCTGGTGAATTAATTTCGAGTGGATCGAGGTGAGCAATATTATGTCCTCGAATCTAACGTGTCAGTATTTTGGGTGGTTGGTAGTTGGTAGTTGTGGTGGTTGTGTTGGTGGTGTAGTAGTATTAACAATGTTTTCGGATTGGATTTGGTTTGATTCGATTCGATTTCGATTTCGATTGGTTTAGGTTTCACAACACACACATAGTACAAAGAGAGAGAATTTGGAATTTGTTGTTTAAACATTGTTCGAGACGATTTGGCGGTTTGTTTGGTTTGAGTTTCGATTGCAGTTTGTGTTTTATTCGATTTGGTTACATTTAGGTTAGGAAGCAGTTATATAAAAATAAAGGAAAAGAAAATAGTCAATTAAAATCATAGAATAGATATGGCTTAAATAAAAACGGATACGGATACAACAACTCCTCTCAGCGCACAAACACAAAATAAAGCAAACACTAAAAGCATCGATAGGATCAGTAGACAATGATCGTTGCGTTGGATGGCAATGTTTTCGAATTCCGTGGGTTAATATCGAGGATCGGTGGGACAGTGTGCAGAAACAGAAAGATATATATGGAACTGGGGTGCCGAGAGATAGAGAGAGCGAGAAATAGACGGGATGCTTAACTATAAACCTTAACGGAAAGACAAGAACTTCGAGAAAGCCAAACACCAAAAAGGTTACTTACAGGAATTCTTATAAACCTTCAACCAAACTGAACTGAACTCGCTAACTTAATCCTAAGCAAAGGTCTCCGATTCCCCTCCTCATCAACTCCGAATTTCATTTAAGCACGAGTTATTTTCGAAACCAATTGCATATGTTTTTTTTTTGGGTGTTCAACTTAATTTCTAAGTGATTGGATAGTAGCAGGATGGTGCAACAGGTATTTGGTTTGGGTTGAGTGGTGCGACTAGGGGTTAAATGAGAGAGAGAGTTTTGTAAAAAGAATTTACCAAACAAAAACCCAGAATGCTGCCTGAGCACATCTTCGTTAGCACGACGTGCTAGCCCATCCTTGCAGACGGTTTTTTCGCGAGTCAAAATTCCAAGCGGATCCAGATCAGATGCCAAATGACCACGTGACTATATATGGTAATTACATATCGTAGATAGATTGGTTGATTATATGTAAGAGGTGTACAGGGTAGATTCAATAGGGCTTAGGTATATCAAGTTAAATGCGAACGCCAGGAAGTTATCGTATGGCTTAATTAACTCAAAGAAAATCAGCTACAAAGCAACGGGGATTAATTTATCAAAAATCTATTTCATGTGCAAATCAAAATCGTAACTCTTTCTCTGGCATTAAAATTAGAAAACCTTCTGCGAATTATTGATAAATCTTAAGTAAATTATGAAAAGTGGTGCAAGAAATATGACCAATCCCCCCAACAATAACTACTTGGTGAACCGGAATGTAAGTGATCGAACAGAAAACCAAACTACTCATGAATAAGTGAACCTCTACTCTATGGAAACTGTGGATGGAGTGGAAAGTCATAATTTCTATTCTACCATGAGTTCTGGATTCGGAATGAACTGGTCTCGGGAAATGCACAGAATGAACACACATAAAGGGGGCAAAGGCAAGTCTAAAAGTCATAATCTAAACATAAACATTAACTGAACCTAGGAGAACGAAACAAAAAGCGCCAACGAATACGAATGCGATCCGGTATATCGATGGCTGTGGCTGCAATCTCCACCGTTCGACTGGGAACCAAGTGAGTTCGACTGGGAGCCAGCACGAGCCGACCTACCTGGTAGCTCCTGATGATCGCCTGCACGGCCAGATGGTCGTCGATGGTCTTGGAGTCGGGCGCAGCGCCGGAGACGGCTCCTCCGAAGTTGAAGGCGGTCAGCGGCAGGGTGTTGGCCTGCACGGGCGCCAAGTTGGGCGGGCTCACGTAGCTGTTGCTGCGGAAGTACGCATCCCAAGACTGCAAGGAAAAATCAATCAATCAAAATTCGATAGAAATGTGTTTTACCGAAGTATAAACTAAAAATTCAAGCAAGGTACCATTGATTTACTTGGAACTGTTCGAACATGTTTCACAACCAAATAAGAAGGCTTTTAATATAATCTTCAAAAGCAATTGGATTTTGTGATAAAATTTGATTATTCAAAAGTAAAAAAAAAAGAAAAAATCTGTGAAATTTGCAAAAAATTCTTTTCGCTTTTGGACACACAAATATTGGTTACATTTAATTAAGTTTAAAACTTTCAAAAACATTAAGTTAACATAAATTTATGTTTAATTTACTTTTTACTTGTGACAAGTTTTAAAAATAATTTAATGCATTCATTAAAGTTGCCTTTTATGGAAGATTGTTTGGTAATATTTTCTCTCCTTAAATCTTAATGCTTTTAAATACAGTTAACGCATTTTAACGACATATTTCCGTTTCAGAAATAAACATCAGTAACTTGAATAAATCCCCTTTTACGGGGAAACGGGTTTTTATTCGATTCAGAACAGGAATTGGTGATTTTTACTGACGTAATCCGCGGATTACAGCAGTACTTACTGTGTGCACCGAAGTGGGATCCCTTAGCCAGGCGTTGTACATCTCCTCCACATAGGAGGCGGTGCTGCCGTTGGCAAAAGGCTCAGCAGCCGCGGAGTTGTAGGTGCGCACAGCGGCGGCTGCAGTTACCTTGGCCATCTGATATAATACAATGAAAATATATTAGTAGAAGTTCATAAGTAATTCCCCAATTCCATTCAGACTCACCTGCTGAGTGCTGCTGCTCTTGAGCAGCCATGTGGCGAAGTTCTTGTGTGCCATCGGCGACAAGGCCAGGCTGAAGGCTGTGTGTGCTCTATGCATTTTGTAGCTTTACAAAATATAACTGAAACAAAACGAAGCGAAAGAGACAATCTTTAGTGGAGATCTAATCAGCGAACTATTATATCACTCGCGACTGATTAATCGATGGGGCTTTTGTTGACAAACAAGTAGAAACGCAGAAGATAGCACCGCCCCCTCGAAAAACAACGAACCCCTGACCCTCGGCTGCTGTAAGGGCGATAAGATAGCCCAGAAACCTTTACGTCATGGCCATGTTCTATGCGTCTTAACTGTGTCACCAATCAACCGAATACAATTCAACTTGTTGCCAGGCCAGCGGGCTGGTGGTTATGAAATTCCCTCACAAAACAAGTCGACAACAATAGGTGTTTTCGATGGAGAATTTACATATGTACATACGTACGTCTAAAGCCAGACTAGACCGTCGAGATCGGGGGATCGCTTGGGAAAATAAAGCACACGTGATGCCGTTTGCCTGCTGATTCCGATTCCGCCGATGACGTCAAACTAACGCGGGCTGGTTTTCGACAGTCCCCTCGTCTTTTTGATAATCAGCCAAGAAATGGCCGCGGAGATACTTTGGCCCCCAAAATATACTGGTGAAATGGGGTTTTTTTTTATATAGAGAGAGGCAGAGGCAAAGCAGCTGCTTTTTGCGCAGTTTATTCGTTTCCCAACTTTTAATCAGTTTTGAATATTTGCCGTGGCCTTTTGTTTGTCATCTCCCAGTCAGCCAGCCAACCATTTAACTGGATTTTTGGGCCGAAACAAGATTGCACAGATAACGTTTAAACGTCGAGTGTGAATGTCCCGCGAGGTCGGAGCAATAAATTCCTGACCACCATGACTAAACTCAGAAACCTCTAGACGCAATTCGCTGGTGATAAGATGGCTGCGGTAAACGGGCCTCCAATTGCGATCATGCCACGCCAGCACTTCCAGAATTTGTCAAATTATTAATCAAATTATTAGCGATAGTCCAGCGCGTGCGGATGTCGTAATTGAGTTCCTATCTAAAGCCAGTCGTGCAAAAAAATATATACAAATTGAAATTCGGAATGGGAATCGGGGGGCAAGGAAGGCGTGGCCAGGTCACATGTCTTATCGGCAAACGCATGCTGGCCAGACGATCCAAATCAAGTGATTACAAAACGCTGGCCCCCAGAAAAAGAAAGGAAAACAATTGAAACGCCCAACCGGTTTCGAGCGGTCAGAGTTACATAGGTATTTGAAAGTGCAGCAATTGGGGTTTCCTCGGATGTGTAATAGTTACAGATACATTAACAGCATTTACGGTAGCTGCAGCTACCGCCCACAAAAGATTATTCAATTTAACGGCCTGCGACTGTGTTTTTATCTGTTTGCTTGTTGTGTGTGCTGGCGCTTTTCACATACAGCTTTCCTTGCAATTATATTCTGCTCGACGTCGCCGCCGCTGTTACGAAAACACATTACATAAGTGCAAAAAATGAAATAAAACAGAGACTCGCACTCGCGTGAGAGCGGCTAAATATTAGAATGCCCAGATGGAGCTAATTAGTGTGAAACAGCTCGATGAGTTTGCAGTTCCAATTTGGAGCATGACTGGAAAAATCCATTTGAATTCGTGTCTCGCGGTGACGGGAAACCGAATTAAATATACACTGCACTGCGGTGGAGCGAACCACCGAATAATATATACGCATATACTGCGTGCGATTGCTCCAAAAAGCCAAAGCCAAAACCAACCGAATATATGTACCCGTCGTAGTCGTATCCGTATCTCACAGATACGCGGCAAACGTTTGTTCGTGCTGAGTGCTGCGCGTCGACTGAAGCGAAAATACAAACCGACCGACCGCCTTCGAGAGTGAAATATAAAATTTAGAAATCGAATTTGCTCTTCACGAACTGCCGAAAAGGGGGCGGCGGTGTGGAAAATGGGAAGGAAAACAGACTGTGTGATAAAAAACACACAAAACGGGCACATGACAACGTATTGTATCTTTATCTTCGGCCAAAAGGGGGTTTGGTCTTCGATCGGTGAGCTGATAACAATCAGGTACCTCATGTATGTATCGGCAGTACTTCCTCCGCTTATCTAACCGCCTCTCCTCGTGTATTTTCCCTATGCTTGCGTATTTATAGCCGGAATTTGTTTACAACGATCCCAAAGTCCGATCGTCAGCCGGCTGACTCTTTGAAAGAAATGCCGCCCACACAGCCGAAAAAGAGAAATAGGAGGTACGTTAGAGAGTGAAAGGGGAATGGCATGTATAGGCAAATATGTTTCCACAGAGCTTGTTTATCACATAACATGCAAAGCGAAATGAGTCTTCAAAGCAAAAAAATAAAATAAGAAAGTATTTATTAATCATCACCATCTAAATAAATAAGATAGTTAACATAGTCGTTTAAAGAATAGTTTTGTTATTAAAAATTCAATAAGTCTCTTCAATCCTTTTTCTCAGTGTATTTAACAAGTCAGACCAAGTTTAAGTGAATATGTGCGTGTGTATCGATTACCTTCCCGTTAATCAATTTAGTTTCAAGTTCATACACCAGCCACATTAATTGGATACTTTTACCTTGAGAGCGAGTGCGAAATTGCCGACAACGGCGACAACGAATTTTAAAATGCTCTTCAAAACGATTTTATTAAAAAAAATAAATAAATTTAAGCATAGAAATTGCGTTTATTAAGATTTTTACTACAAATTAAAAAAAAAAATAAAATAAATAAGAAGAAAAACAATTTGATTTTAAGTTGGGCAAAATTAAAACAATGCTCAAGTTATGATACCCTCATAAAAGGGTATGGAAAGGTAAGAAAAATGCAATCGATAAGGTTGTGAACCTTGCTTAGCCGGTCCGAAAACCAGCATGCAACTACATTCCATTGAAAACCTTAGTCGAGCCCCCACAAAGAAGAAGAAGCAGCAGGGAGGGCCCAGTCATGAGGTAAATGACAAGCGCGTCCAAAAGGGGGTGGAGAGGGTGGTGAACTACTACGGGGATTACTATCCATGATCTGGGGCCTTTACAACTGGCTTATGATAGGTTGTGGCGAGTGTTCCACATTTTCTACAGCAAAAACTAGTTGTGCTTCCCCAGACAATGCGACCGCGCTTTTTCTTTTCCTTCTTTTTGATTGATGATTCATTTGTTGGCTGGGAGAAAAAGCACACGCGGCACACTCGCTAAATTGCGTCATCAATGCGCCAAGTTAATTTTACACCATCGCATGTGACGTCGCCACTTGTTTTGCATTGCGAAATTTCACTTTTCTTGCGGGCAACCGGCGCAAGCGCTTTTCCGCCCTCAAAGAGCCGCCCACCTGCAGTTTTCTCATTATATAAGAACAGTCCTTGAAAATTTGACTACGTAAAGGTTGCGAAAATTCATATTCAAGGCCTGCAATTTGCACTTTTTCGAAAGGGGAACACGCGGCAGCAGCTTATTGATCGTAGAATGCTGGTGATTAATTCCTGGAATTCCACATGATTGAAAAGCGGGGCTCGAATGTGGGCCAAAAGAAAATCACACGTATTACGAGTTTTTCCGAATTGGTAGTACCAGAACTTTGCCACCCACTACTCAAAGCACTTTTTTCTATATTTACCGCACCTAATTTGCTTAAAACTAGGTAAAAGTTGAATATTTACGTTTTTACAGCCGAAAACTTTTTCTGGGATGGGAAACTGCCAAAATATATCGATATAAAATCGCATTTTTACCGCGTAGCAGATATCGATTATTTTAATAGTGGTAGTGAAAAGTTACACTTACACTCATACTTTCGACTTGCGACAAGAGATGGCGCTATTGTGAAAAGCTTTGCCGTTGGCGCCATGGGTATTTTTAAGTAAATTTGAATTACTTTTTGTAAAAACAAAAAATATGCTCAGAAAACTTCTTATAAGCATATTAAAACCTAGTTTTTAAATAATATGTGGTAAAGTATACTTTGTGTTTAAAAAGTATGTTAATTTTCCACTTTCAACTGTTTAATAAGCCTCCTACATGGTTTTTAATACCAATGCTACCCGCACGACTCACACAAAACTGGAATCCAACTCGCACTAAACATTTAATTGCTACGCACACTAGACAGAGTAACTAATCAATAATCAATATCTGCTGTACTGATCCAGGCAGTAGCCGGTGATTTGGTCGGATATACAGTCGAAGACATCAAAAGCCAGATCGCAGCTTTCTCCTTTCTGCGGCAGCTCCTTGCGATTCACTCCGTACCTGGTGGTCATTGCCCGGAGGCAGAGATTCACGGACCGAAGAGTGGCCATGAAGAATCCGTGCTCGTGGACGCCCTCGGAGTAGAAGTGCACCAGTCCGTCCAGCGTGGGCCAGCCCTTCTTGTCGATGGCGTTATTCTTGGCGTATACGCAATGCAACAGGCACTGAAAAGATATCAAAATCACAAAGCAATGTATATTTTTTTAATCTTAGTCTGTGGAAAATGTATAAAGATACGCAACTTGCTTAGCATGTTAAAATGTAATTGTATTTTAAATGTGAGATACACCTTAAACAATTGCCTATAAAGTTGTAAATTACTAAAGATTTCTTCATATCAGAAATATTATATATAATAACAAAATAGAAAGTAGTTCTTCACCAAGTAAATTAAGTTGATATAAACTCAAGCTTTATTGCATTACAAAAATTGGCTAATATATGAAAACCACTTAAGAGAATCAATTAATTTATTAAAATAAATATCATCCGCTTAATTATCTCATATCTACATCTTTTTTCGCGAGATGGTTTAATGATATTCTAGTAATATGCAACAAACACTGTTAAATTGTTTTCTGTGTAGGAAGTGGAGGGCTATCTGTACATTCAATTTGCTGATGCATAAAGCCAGCTAATGTGTATTAAGTGCCGCCATAAAGTGCGCTTTTCAGCCATCAAATTCAGCATTGCTGGAGGTGTGCGAAAAATCTCCGGCGGAGGCGTGAGATTTTGAATGCAACTGAAAACTGAAAATGCAATACGTATAGCAACTGCGGCTGGGCTTTTCTTTCGATTGTCTAATAACCCTGACTTTAGGTTTAGCTCAGTGGGGATAAAGTGGGAGGCAAAGTGGGGGCTATTCGACAATTGTTTCTTGGGCTGCCATTGAACTTAATTGAGCGTCGCTTTTGCATTTCATTAACACGAGTGAAGAAAAGCGATCTACAAGTCTCGCAGAAGATTCTTTTGGTTGAAAAACTTACCCCCGCAATGCGTTTGTCTTCCAAGGGAACCAAAGTGGGATGATATATCCCCGAACTGGTGACATCGAGTCGTCGGATATTCCTCATGAGTCTGGCAACATGTCGATGTGGTTCTGGTTCATCGTAGACTATATACTCATAGTTGCTTATGTTGGGGGTGTGATCTATTGAAGAAGAGCCGCCAGGAACAGAGGGCCAAACGAAGTCGATGGAGTCATCATGGGGATCAATTGCAGGTTGATTGTGCGACACTTGCTCCTTGAGTATCTCATATGCCTCTGTTTTTAGGGTTTTAATATCTTCAAGGGATTTACTTTCTGTAGAACTCACCACTAACCAACTTATTTCGCACCTCATTCTGGCACTCAGTGATAACCGACTCAACTTTCCTCGCAGTTCTCGGCGGATTCAGGCACTTGGCCTTCTTCGTCTCGAAGCGAATTAGATATTCCACCGCCTCGATCGATGCGATAACCACACTCGCGATATATAATAGTTGTGCAATCCTCATGGCTGCCGATTAATTGGATACTTCACACCGATCCGAACCGAACGCCTTGGCTGCTGTCAAATGAATGTCCCCTCCGGAGAAGAAATAGCCGCGATGAAATCGAAAGCATTTTCACTTTTCCAGCCAGTTCGGCAGTCGCCACAGGATGGCCCACACTCGCCACTTATGAGTTTCCAGTTTTTCAGTTCAGTTTTGCTCTATGGGTATGTGGTTCAATGGCAAACTGAAAAACTAAAAAAAAAAATGCGAGTTGCAATTGCAATTGCAGCTGCCACAACTGGTTGCACATTTCCCATGCGTGCAGTCCGTTAGAAACTTGTCCTTAGAGCCCGGCCAAATGCCTTTGAACATGGTCATTGGCAGCAGCGGTATACTGTATATATCATATATATCATGGCCATAAAGCCGGCCGATCGCATTGGGTTTCCATTCCATTGTCTCAGTGGTTTTGCGATTACAATTCGGTTATTCGACGAGGAACGCACTCGCTTCGATTGAGCGCACAATTAACCATCAATGGGTGGGCCCAGCCAACTCTTCCGCCTTCTGACCAATTTGCATAAGGCATATGGCTATATACCAAAAAAAAACAGAAACAGAAACAGCCATTAAGATTATCAAAGGCGGCAGTGGATGTGGGCTGAACAGAACTATAAACTATAAACTATAACCAGAGAATCAAAGGCAGCCAAGCGGACCATCCCCAATCCCCTTGATCCCCCCTCTAAAATCCAAAAAAACAATGGCCAATAACTGTACTTGGAAGTGGCCAGAAGCCAGAAGTCGCCACGCTAATTATGCTTCATTAAAATGCCCAAGATCCTAGGCGGAAATTGTCATAAACTTCTCTGATCTCCTGCCAGTCGTCGGGTAATTGCCTTTAATTGCATATTGCTGGAGTTGGAGATGGCCAAAAATTGCCGCTAAGACACTGACCTAGACTCGCTCTGGATCGAATTTGTAATAAGCCAACGGCTAACGGAGAATGGAAAATTGAATCCACAGAGCTGAAGTTCAATGTTTAGTGCACAGATTTTCCAAGATAAAAAGCAAGGGGAGTAAAAGTGGGAAGGGGGAAAATTGTCAACAGGAAGCTCTCTCTCTGCAAGAACAAGAACAACGTGAGCTAATTGACAGACAGCTACACAGGCACGATTTTCCATTTTCCATTTTCCGTTTGGCCATTCCAGGGGGGAAATCCAGGGAACAAGGAGCCACGAAGTTCTGGCTGGAGTGCAGCTGCAACAACAAAACACAACAACAACACTTGCGTGTCCATCATTAGAACAAATTCTCTCACCTTAATGCCCCCCCTTAAAACCCCTTCACCCCCTTTACCCCCTTACTCCTCCATTTTCCGCTTTTCTTGTAACGCAATTTGCACACAAATGCTGCTGTTTCATCTTCGTGGCTGTGTGTTGGCTGGCTGTTTTTGGTGGGTGGTCAGGTGAGACAAGTGGCAGCAGCACCACCAGCTACCAAGCTACCATGTAGCACCACACGAACCACCACCACCATCGACTGACTGACTCGCCTGAGAATCGTATTTAAATACGAAGGTCTAACGCTGGATCGCATCAGTCGTCGTCGTCGCGTTGTTCTATCCACAAGTTCCTCCTGAAAAAAAAAAAAAAACTTAAACCAAGTCGGAATTTAAAGTCGGGATTCAATCGGTTCGGTTGGGGGAACTACAATTTATTTGGTGATTGTGTCCCGAACAGGATGTTCGTTTGATGACCGTTTGATCTCTGGACTGGCATAAAAAACAAATGCGATTCGAAGATGCTCCAACTGCATCGTTACTTGAGTTCCCTCTGGTTTCTCATCGCCATTCTGGGATACTTTGCAGATCCGGCGAGAGCGGAAATCGAGTACAACACCATCAACGAGGATGGTTCTTTTCAGTTTCGGTACAGCGAAGTTTGACTTGTTAAATGTGGTGTTATATAATGTTGAAGAACTGAAGAAAAAAGTGACTTTAAGGAACTCTAAATCCTCTGACTTATTATATCCTCAAATTAAACGCAAATTCCTTTTACTTCTCTAAACAAAAAAAATGGTTTGTGACTTGTGATTTTCTTGTGCCTTGTTAATAATTATAGTGTTTATTTTAAAGGATATTTAAATAATAAATAATTATAGTGTTCCTTTTAAAGGATTTTTACCATAACCCAAAAAAGGATTTGTAAAAAAAAGAATAATTTTTGTTTTCAAAGATTCTAGATAATTTTTCAGTTATTCCTTTTTCCAATCCGCTAGACATATATTTTCTTTAAATGCTTTATAACTTGTTAAATGATAAGTGATTAATCTAAATACTGATTTAGAAATCCGGGGATTTACACAAATATTTCTAATGCCATTTTAGTTATTTTTCAAAATTTACCCCTACTAATTACTTACCACTTCTGATTATCCATGGAATTGCAATCCATAAAAAGAGAACATCTCAATTATAGTTTTTTAGCAGGCATGGGTCATAAATCTAACAAATCGCCTAATCGGTCGATGTGTTTGCTGCCGCACCATCACACTCGAGCAAATTTGAGATTTTTAACACCTCTTTAACGCCTCAACGTTTTGCAACCACAACAATAACCCGCTTCCGACCATCTTCCCTCCATCTCTCCAATTCGCACGCATGGGGCAACGCAATTACTTGTGCTTCGATGGAAACCCCAAACTGGTGGATGGATACCTCTTCTGCTACAACTGGTGGTAACCGAACCTATTGGGCCAAAGACATGCAAATGATGACATTGGCGGCTACTATCACAGTGCCTCGGGCACTCCGGACAACACGGTGCGAGGTCGCTACGGTTCGCGGAGTCCGGCCAGCGGACAGATCGAGGAGACCGTCTACACCGCCGGACCACGTGGGTGAGTAAACGAAGACACCCCACTCCCAGTCGAAGTCGCAGTCCAAGTCGCAGTCGCAGGCGAGACGAGTGGGTAAAGTGCGCTGATGCACTCAGAGAAACTATTTCGTCCTTTCGCTTTTTGTAAAAAAAAAATAATAGTTAGGCAAAGGATCGGACTGAAAATAACAAAGAATTTTATTTTAAGAAAAATAATATACCCACAATCAGAAATAAAATTTTAAGTCCCTACTTGGGAAAATATTTAAATATTTATATTTTAATTATTTTATATATATATTTAAAAATTTAAACTATTTACACAAGGAGGTGTTTTTCACTAGTTTCACTTATCACATTTCACTGAAATGGTTTCCTTTATTTTTGGTTAAATATTAATAATAATAATAAATAATAAAAAATATCACATATTAGATAAATGCGAAAGAAACTAACAATTTTGTTCTTCGGTTTTTTAATTAAATGAATTTGTACTATTATCTATCACAAATGTACAAAGTATTTTTCAACATGAAATATTATTTTTTGCAAGTGTATTACCGCTAAAGGAAGTTTACAATATTTACAAATTTTATTTTATGGAAAGGGCGTTCCTTGTTAATTTTAATAGAGTTGTCAAAAACATTCTTCAGCAAACACACTTAAAAACTAAACTTAAAACTAGATAGTCACTTTCCGAGTGCGAGTGTATTGGGTGTAGAGGAAGTGGGAGCACAAAGTGAGTTATCTCCCCCGATGTCGGAGTTGAGCTCATATATCAGCGGTTGGCGGCAGGCGGCGGCCACTGAGGCGGATCGCAAGTTAAAAACTTGGCTCCCAGTTGAAGTTGGAGCCGTTCTAACACATTGGAGCATTTTTTGTGTGGCGTTGCCTAAACGTTTTTCCATTACCGCCTCGGCTACTGTTTTTGTTTTTGCAATCTCCGGTAAATCGGGGGAAGCAAAAAGCTGTTAACAAATTGAGTGGCCTGAGAGCGGGGCAAAAACTATGGATTGTACTCGCAGATTGTAGATGCTCAGCGATAGCGATGATTCTGAATGGGATCGTTCCGTTCCCCGATGTGATGTGTGGGGTAATCAAAGTAACGACGACGTGCCGCTTCCAGATCGGATCTATATTCCGAGTTGCAGTGCGAATCCGCTTCCGCTGGGTTTACCCAATCCCAATCCCAATCCCCCTTGTTCATTGTGATCGCCGGCTAATTAATCTCCCCATTTTCCGATTTCCCATTCAGATTCCGAGCGAACGGTCCGAAGATCCATCGCAAAATGGACCTGGCCCAGTATCCGGTTCTGCCGCGGGGAAGTCCCGACGATCCGCTCGCCGATCCCTTCGACGATCCCTCCTACAGCTTCAGCTTCCGCACTCCGGATCAGTCGCGCAGCGAGGAGAACGATTCGGGTAACAGGATAAGGGGTGAGTTCCTAATGAAGATGTTCTGAAAGATATTATATATCATGTGGTAATGAACAAAGAAATAATATTTTATTATTTCGCGTGTGCAAAATCTGAATCTTATCACAGAACTTTAACCATTCTGAAATGGGGAAACCCTGCAAATACTTTGAAGTTTAATCACAATAGATGTAAGAAATTTTTATTAAACATGTTAAAGTAAGATTTTTAAATTTTTAACGCGTTCTTTTGCCTTAAATAGTTTTCACCGAAGAAGAATGAAGGACTAACGATTGTTTTTGAATTCAAGAAAGTACTATGTTAATAAGTTGAAACGTTCATGTTTTCCGGAAAATACTTTTTTTATAACATTTTTGTAATTTATTTTGAATATTATATCTTTATCAATTAGGCAAACTCGATTCCATTCCATTTTTTTAATGTTAATTGGTTAAAAGATTTTTAACAACTATCGTCCAGATCGTTAAAACTCCCTCATTAAATCACATTTAATTTTTTTTTTAGCAGAGTGGAATAACTCAAGCAAATTCTCTTTCTCTTCCAGGACTCTACTCCTACCTGGACGACGTGGGCGAGCGGCACAGTGTGCGCTATGCAGCTGGCGCCGGAACCGGATTCGAGATCTCCAACGCAGTGCCGGACAATCCCTCCTCGGTGGCCTACTCCAGTCCTCTCTACAAGTCGCATCCCAAGACGCGTGGCAAGATGACCGTTCAGAGAGGACCAGCGGGAAGCTACAAGCTGATTGCCTCCGGTCCGGATCATCGAAGAGCAGAGAGTCGTGCTCCCGATGGCCTGGTTCGCGGCACCTACTCCTTCCTGGACGACAAGGGCGTGCAGCGAACAGTGGAGTACATTGCGGGAGCGGGAATCGGCTACCGGGTGGTGCACAACCGCATTGGTCCTGGCACCCACATCAATCCCTCCGTGGCTGACTTCCGCCTGGCGGATACGGACTTCCGACTGGCCAATGATTTTGGAAGGGGTGCGGGAGGTGGATTGGGTCCCAAGGGAGGAGGAGGTGGCCCTTCCGGTTCAGGAGGAGCTTCGGGATCAGGTGGATCAGGTGCTGGAGGAGCTGGCAGGGGAGGTGGTGCTGGCAGAGGTCGCCCTTCTGGTAGACCAGGTGGCAAGGAATACCTGAAGCCAGCCGATGGGGCAAGGGACAGGAATCAAGGTGAGGATGAAGCTGGAACAGCGGATGATGATCTCGGATCGAGTGATGACAATCAGGGGGATGACATTGGTTTGAGCAGCAGTTCCTCGGGATCAACAAATTTTAAGGGTAAAGAAGATCGAAGGGGTTTCCCAGCGGGAAGTTCCCAAAGGGGAAGCACAAGATACGACGGTAGCAACTCTCAAAGAGGAGGAGGAGCAGGAGGAGGCGGAGGAGGAGGAGGAGGAGGCGGAGGAGGTGGTGGTGGTTCCTCTGGTATTAATTCAAGTGGATCCCGAAACAGAAACCGATTTGGTTCTAATAGCGGGGGAAGTGCCTCCTCTGAAAGGGGAACCAATAATGGAGGAGGAACTCGTCGAGGAGGTGCATCCTCCGGCGAAGGAGACTCCGGGTTGGGTTACCTCCCTCCCACCGGAGGAGGAGGATCGGGCACCAGTGCCATCAGCGGACCCGGGGACAACTACCACCTCAACGACGAGGACGTCGGGAGCTCCCTGCCGCCGCTGGTCACCGCCAACCACCGCATCCTGGAGATCGACCGGGATCGGGAGTGGGTGCAGCGCCACCGCGACTCCACCGTGATCAAGAACGTGGGCAAGTGGTATGTGGGTCTCCCACCTGGCCAGAGTGTTCGTGCCCACGTCCAGAACATCGACATCATTCCCCTGGGCGGAAGGGTGGGTCTCTCCCCATCGGAAGCTCTTCGGCAGGACGAGATCGCCGAGCTGAATGCCTCCAGGGAGCACTAACCGGATGACTTCCTCACCCCTTCCATTCCATCGGATATGTAGTTCGTAATGTTTTAGGGTTAAATAATCAGTGTTAAGTAACCGAAACTGGGTTGACTCCTCCACATGGAAACTGTAACAGTATTTGAAGCGGAATACATTTTATGTCTGCATCTGTATCTTTAACCGACTAGTTATGCGATATCCGATATCCGTGGGGTTGAGCAGGTTGGTCGATAGATTGCGGTTTCCTTGGATCTCCATATAATCCGGAGGCTTTGCCTGCGCAGAGTTTAGTTGGTTTCGAGACCTAAGACAAGATGCTGTTGGCTTGGTTTGGTTTGCTGGTGGTTTCCTGTGTTCAGGGAGCTCAGGTTTACATGCACTTCAATGGACAAGGATACTCCTACAATACGGATAACGATAGAGAGGACAGGAGTGTGGATAGCTTCAACTATGGAACATCTTCCCTGGATTCCTTCCAACCCTTGGAGTTTGTTCAGCAGGCTCTAAGAACCCGGCACAATCCTCTCCCAAGGATTTCCTATAATCAACAGGATAACCTGGGAGCTTCCTCCTTCAGAAGTGGTTATGAAGTAGCACCACCTGTGGTTCAGAGATCCCAGCAGAGCCACCAAAACTTCGATTTCAGCACCGATCAGATGTCGCACTCGCAGCACACCGATGAATCGGGAAATGTTTTGGGCAAGTACTCGTACTTCGATGAGGCTGGCTACCACGAAATGAGCTACAAGGCGGGCGCCGGCATCGGATTCGTGGTCATGGGTGGCAACTTGGCCAAGGCCACCCACTCGGAGCCCCATTCGCAGTTCGAAATCGGAAACGGAATCCAAGCAAATGCCTTGACAAGCCTGCAAGAGTTGCATAAATATCGTGGCTACGCGTAAATAAACAAATTAACCGAACTACTTGTCAGTTCTACTTGGGTGTCTCGTTTGTTGTTTAGTGGAACTATTTGGAGATCTGACAGTGTCAGCTGTCGTGTCTGACATCTACGTGATCGGGGAATTTAACTTTAGTTAAGTTATGTTAAAGAATGAATTAATAGTGGGTATGTGCTTATTCAGAGGTTGAGTATTATAGCACTTAAAATTCTCTCCGCTAGGAATACTCATTAGAAAGTGATTCAAGTGATCTAAAAAGAAAATGGAAAATTAAACTCGTCAAATTAAGAATATCCGAAAAGTTAACAGAAAACTAAACGTTTCAGAATATTTTTATATTTAGCCATTCTTTTAAACCCATTTGATTTTAATTTATATTTTAGGGGATCGATTGATTTAGTTTCTGTATTTAATCTGTTATTTTTTATTAGCTTCTCGAACATATAACATGTTATTTATGGATACAAATGTCTTGTTCCAATAAAAACTTAAGTCAGAGGACCACCATAAATACAAAAGAAAGTCATGGTAGAATCTATCGACTTAAAGAACTTACCTATCCCTTAAAAATACACAAGATATAACCATTCCACACAAATACTTACCTTAAAAATGCATAAATTAGTTTGTGAAACGGGTGTTAACATTTTTGCATAAAGTAGATTAGCTAAACATTGTCAGTTTGCGATCGTAAATGACTGTAAGAGCCTTAATTGCCGGAGGCGCGTGCCTTGGCTCGAGACAAGTGGAACGATTTATGCATTTTATAAACCCTAATTGATTTTCCGATCATAAAAATGGTCATTCGGACGGACGGAGGTACTTTACCTATGGCCAGTGCATCCCAAAGCCAAATTGAGTCACCTCCGGCTTGTATTTATTTTTGTTTGGGTAATTTCTTGTCGGAAAGAGACCAAAATAATACAACATTTGAAATGTTCGATGCGTGCGCGCACTTGCCAAATAATTTGAATCGAACGGAAAGCCTTGGCGTCCACATCGTGGCCTAAATAAAATATATATTCCAAGCCCGCCGCAGACAAAGAAAAGCCCAAAAAAAAAAGAAACAAATAAAAAACCATATTAATAATATGCATATTTGCCAAAACAAAAAATTATTACAGAGGCCGAAAAAAAAGTTTCACTGCCGCCACAATTAAGTTTTATTGTCAAGAGATCTAAGCGGTTAATTTCCCTGAAACAAGTTCCAAAAACTTTCTTCTTCGAATGCACTGGATTATAAAGTACAGAAAGGCAGTTAAGAGCTTTCCGCTGACATAGATTCTATTTGGCCGTTTCTAGGGTTTGTTTGTTGGCCACGTTCTCAGCTCAACTCAGCTTGGTTATCAATGGCTCAGCTGGGAAATAGCCAAGGTGCATAATTGGGTTAGCCTGGCTTGCAGTAGAGAACCTAGAATTAAAGCTACGCTCTGCGGTTCTCCCAGGTGCCAGTTACCTCTGGTTTTCCCTGTCCCCGTTTCCCCCCTTTCCCCTCCCCCTTTTCCTCTATAATGTATATATAAAACAACGGTTTGCATTGGGGACTCTCCTCGTCGAAGGTCAGGCTTAATTGGCCAGGCTCGCAGCCAACGACTTACCACTAGCAGTCCCGTTTGCCAGCATTTATAAATAGGTTCCAAGGTCTCTCGCGGGGTTTAAAAACTCCTCGGCAGCTGCTTGGGTTTCAGTTGGGGTTCGATTTATCGCCTTTTGATTGCTGCATTCCAATACCAACACCGAACACGATGCCAATTGTGGATCAAGTGTGGTGCGTGTGGCGTTCATTGGGGGCCTTTACAACGTGTTGCTGCTAATTTCGTATGCTCCCCTTGGGCGCTGCACACTCGAAACCATAAATCTTGTGGCAGTTTTATTGGTGCCCGCGTGCCACAAAAGGTGGAACCCCCAGTTGGCCGCTGGTTAATCAAGAAATATGCATTATTATTGCCTGCACTTTGAAGTCAGTAGCTGCAGTTTTCTGGGGCATAAAAACCAATAAAAGGATAAATTGCATGGGGAAGTGGTTGAGCAGTTAATAAGATGTATGGTTCTTGGGTTAATAAAGACTTTCGTTCGGCGGAGAAAACAAATGACTTAAGGCACGAACTCGGCTAGAAAATCAATTCGTACGATTTGAGAGATTTGTGATTTATGGCCCGAAGCTAAATTATAATCCTGACATCTGTTGATATTCGAGAAGTGTGTGAAGTCTTCACGCTGAATTCGATGTTGAATCAGAAAAAGAACACGCGAAACTTTCTAACGAGTTCTAGGCAAACATTTTAATTGAATTGCGAGCGATTCGAGTTGTCATGTTAAGTCTCTTGCCATTTTGGCTTATGTCATGTTTTTTGGTTACCTCTGATTACCTCTGCTTCCCACACGCATTTCGCATTTTGCTTCTATTTCCACTCCACTCCACTTGTAATGGCCAGACACTTCTCCAATGGCCAGTCACACTCAATCAAGCCAATAAACGGCCAATTAATCAAAGTCAGCGCGGTGATTCTGGTCTTTAAACAAGGTGCTAATAGCCAAACGGAAGCCTACAAAATTCGTCTGTCAGCGAATCTTCACATGTTGGGCAAACTATGTTAAGTTAGGTAAGCTTTTTGTAGAGGGAGAAGATATCTATCGTTGAAATCCTAGAGTTTGGAGCCTGAATATCAATGGGATATGGGATATTTTGGTGCCCAAAAACCACGGAGATCCACGCCCTCCGATAAAAGCCAGGCCAAGGCGTTCCCCTACGTGAATGAGCCTCCATCTCTCTTCCTCTCTCTCTCTCTTTGGCTCTCTCTTTGGGCCAAAAGCCCATGCTCTTACACCTGATTCGGGCCCTGTTTTCTTGGCCATTTCTTCTTCGACGCTCCATCGCCGTTTGCATCGCTAATGGAAATGTTATAAACAGACGCGCTGGGCTCGGCCAACACTCAGTTCATCTTCAGTCGTCGTCTGGCTCGCTGGCTTCTGGCTTTTGGCTCTCAGCTCTTGGTTCTTGGTTAACAGGAGTCCCACTGCCACTTCCAGTCTTTATTAATTGTGCGTGACATCGAGAAATAAAAAGACAAAAGAATTTCGCATCCGAAACAATCGTAAATTGAAAGCACAGCAGGATTTGCTTTCAGTGCAGTCGTGTGTGTGATTTTGCATTGTGATCTCGACGAGTGACAATCATTTCTCGTTTTCAGTTCAAGGATATTTTTGGTCAAGGCGAAAGGATTGGTCAGCGCAACGCCAGGAATTTTTAGTTGAAAGCCATAAACTATTCACAAGAATTCGGCTGTAAAATGCGCTTCTTTGTTGTAAGTAAAACCGATATAAAAAAAAGAAAATTAATTCTGGAGACTCGTTTGCATTTCGGGAAAACGAAACTAGTTTATACCTGACCGCAATTAATCATTTATTGCCCTGCGCCACCGTTGAACTCATTAAGTCGTCAACTGGCCCAAGTTCGTGCCTTAAGTCTTTCGTTTCTTTCACTTCGGAATTGAAATGAACTTTCACTAAGCGACATTTTTGGTTCTTGACGCGATTCTTGGCTTCTTCTATCCGCTAAAAATTAGCCTTAATTATGTTCTGTGCCATATGCAAATATTAATAATGCGATTAGAGTCTTTTTTTTGGCAATATACCATAATAATCTGAAATCGATTTGAATGCTAAGAAGTCTCATTTGGGATTTTTATTTAATAAGTCAAAAGGTTAGAAAAGGTTATTGTTTCTTTTGTGGAGGGTTTTAAAAGATTTAATCCCTTAAAAAAGTGAAAACCCTTTGATTCAGAACGTGACAATATTCTAGCCCCACCCCAATTTAAAAAGTGAGAATGAATCATTTATGCCGCAGTTTGTATTATCCCTTGCATTATTCATATTCATATTCCCATTGGGACAAGCACTCCCTTTAAAGCCGAAACTCATAAGGAACCATTCGATTCAATTATAGCCTTAACCAATTCGAACACTTTACAATGAAAAGCCCAAAAATTAATTATGACTCGAAGAACACACAATTAATATGCCACAAACGTATGAAAATCATGCGTGGGCTAACAAATGTTAATAAAAATAAAACTCTTCTTTCTCTCGAATAAACAATCAACCTTATTTGTGTGGGTTTTTCATAAAGAACTCGAGAACTTCAAACTATAAGTGCATTAGTTTGTTTTCGAATCTACGACCGTGTTGATAGGGGTTCATAAATTAATCAATTTATGAGTATCGATTGTTAGTCAAGCGGGTCTCAACCCTGATGGCCATCAATCTCAGTCCAATTAGCCCCATCTAAATGTATCCAGAATATCATTTGAGACTAAGAGACACCTGATAACCTGACAACCGGATAAGGAGAACAGAACAACTTGTTTGGGGAACATAAAACGCAGCGCTTAAACTTTGCATTCGAGCCATTAACCCAGTTTATTTTTGGACAAGACACACCCAATGCTTGTTGGTTTCTTTTTAAGCGGGTTATGTTATATATATATAATAATAATAAATAAGGCGATTCTGGGCGAAGAAGAAAGCGGACAGAAATACATCTCCCGGGGATGCAAGAGTTCTTGCAAATCAATACTAACCAGGTTCGATCACCTTCTTGGCCAGGTTCTCTTTTTGGAGTTATGCTTTTGGCCCGGAATCGTAACAGACGCCTAGAGGTTCAGGTCAATGACACAACACGAGCGATCCAGCTTTGGCTTTGGCTTTGGCTTCAGCTTCAGCTCATTGGCTCATTGGTTCGGTTTGTTTTTTTTTTTGGCTCCGACTTCAGTTCCTCTCGGCTTAGTGACATTTCTCGAGTTGATAGATGGGTGGCGGTGGTGCGGGGTCTTCTGTTCCACTGGGTAACGGTTGCGTCAATATTGACTTTGCCAAAGATGTGGAGAGCCGGCGAGAGTGAGTCAAATATTTGCCGATCGTGGGGTTCTTGACAAATCCGATGAGTACTTAAGGTTTTCTTGTGGCTCTCACTTTTTGGTTTATATTTCTTCAAGAAATTATGCAAATTGCGATCGAACTGAGAGAAAGACTTTCGCGAGGCACTCGACCGCATTCCACTCATGTATTTCATGTATCTATTACGACATTGGAATATAAACCTCAGGCGAACTATATAATCAATCACTAACCTACTGTCACTTCTATATTTCTTTTAGCTATTTGGATTGCTTCTGGCCTGTTTGGCTTCTAGCCAGGCCCAACAACAACAACCCAGTGGACTGGCCGTCGAGTAAGTAGTCTAGTTGTTAGTTAACCCAACCCTTAGATCCCATTAACCGAACTGCCTTGCCTGCCAAAAAAATGTGCCAACGCTAATGCTCATTCCAAGTAGAAGTTGATGCGCGCGCCTAGAACTTTGTGACTAAACCCCAGAGAGACTTGTAACTAACTCGTAACCCAGAACTCATTTCCCCCACCCCAAAAACACACATTCCCCTGCACCACTAGCCACTAGAAGATAACTCCACGAAAAGAGAGAGCGACCACCAAAAAACCAACAAAAAACCCTTTCGTTTGCAGAATTCAGAAGCAGCGCCTGATCAAATTCCCCGATGAGTTTGATCCGAGTAGTTCGAATCCTTCGGCGGAAAAGGCGGACGAGGCCAAGCGAATCCTCGAGCAGATCGCCAAGGTAAACGAGGCCTTCGGCTACGTGAAGAAGCAGCCGGAGCAGAAAAAGCTGCCGCCCATCCTCGACTCCAGTCAGTATTTGTTCCCCAAGCCGGCCCATCAGCCCTTCCACGCCCACCAGCACCACTTCTCGGGCAGCAATGGTCAGACTTTGCTAGAACCCTCAATCAGGGCGGTGAAATTAACCAGGAATGTGGCAGGGGAGAACTACAATGTACCTCCCAGGTTGAGAAACTCAGGGGAAGGCTCTTCCATCAACAATGTACCTCCCAGGTTGAGGAACTCAGGGGAAGGGTCCTCCATCTCCAAGGAGGAGAAGAAAACCCAATTATACTTCAGACCCAACAGGGTGGAGGTACCCAAACCCATTTCCGATGAGGAAGCCCAGCAATTACCCGCTCACTTTGTGATACCCGTTCACCTGCACAAACTCAACAAGGAGGATTACATCAAGGAGCACGCCTCGCAGGAGTACAAGATCAGGGGCTACAAGATCATCGGCGATGTGGACAGCTTCTATGGAAAGGCGAAGTCGGCAAGGAAACAGGGCAAGACCACGCCCAAATATCATTTGTTCTTCCTTCCTCGGGAACTTGCTTTAAATGAAGATGGTTCACCAAAGAGGGGTAACTCCACTACAACCACTACAAAGGCTCCTTCTCCTGCTCCTTCGCCTGTGAGCTTCAAGGAGTATCGGCTAGACTCCCGTGAGAAGCCAGTCCACAAAAACCAGAAGACTCAACCCAGTTTGGCTCCATCATCGAATACCTTTAACTCTGTGAACAAGAAGAAGGTTAGCTCTACAACAAAACCTGTGCGTTTGAGTGGCAAGGAAGCCGAGCAGTTGGGTTTCGCCTCCCCAAACATTAAGTCCACTTCTGCTCCAGTCTCCTTGAGCTCCACTTTACCACCATCTGGAGGTCTTTTGCCCAATTTGAACCGATTGAATACCTATCGAATGCCTGGAATGAACATCGCCGAAGTGCAGAACCAAACCTCGGCGGCCATCAAGAATGCCTTCCAGAACATCTTCAAGCTGCCCTTCCGAACTCCCATGACCTCCACTATGCCCGCTTCCATCGGAGATCAACCAGTAATTGTGGGTAGTGTACCCCAGAAGAATCAGTCAAACGATTCCATGGATTACAAGTGGGATGATGATAGCGAAGGCGCTGGAGATGGCGATGGCATTTCCGGTGATGTGGACACCGTGGAAAACACGGCGGCGGAACTGGACACCAGCTCCTCCTCGGAGAAGCACCTCTTCGCGCACAAGGCCCACCACCTGATGCACACGGTGGGTCAGGTGGCCACCGCCCAGCAGAGCACTCAGAAGCAGGCGCTTCGCGAAGGGGGAATCATCATCCAGCGACTGAAGGTTCGCAGGGGCGGCATCGCAATCGCCGGACCCGGGGGCGTGGCCACCGCGGGCAGCGGGGGAACAGCGATCGTGGGTCCCGGGGGATATGCCCTGACCCATCCAAGGAGTCTCACCATCGCAGGTCCCGGAGCGAAAGTGATCTCCATTCCGGCGAATGTGGATCTGAAAGACGCCTTGGCACGAACGGATTTGGAGGCGAGGAGTTTTCCGCGGGAGGGGAAGATCGTGGCCACGGGACCCACGGTGTACTATGCCCCGCCCACGGGCACCACCACCACCATGGAGGAGGCGGAGGATCAGGGGGCGGGGATGGAGGCGGGACAGTTTTAGAAAAAAAGCTTTTACTTTCTAGTTAGGATCGATAGTTGGTATTGTCTAGTGTTTTAATAAATTCTTGTATTTCCTAACCTTTTTCGGCTTTTGCTTTCATTTGTATATAGTTACTGTATATATATATAGATACTCCCCCATTAATCCTCACTTATCTGGCATGCGATTAACCCACCGACACAGTTTTAACCCCTCGAAATGTTGCTGTAAATATTATCACACTAACCGGCGGCTCTCTTCGACATCTTTCCCTATTCTATCCCTAAAAAAACCACAAAACCAACCACCATCCTCATAAAAGTGCCTACTGGCGCACCACCAACATCGAGGCCTGGCCACCGGGAGCACCCACCGTCGCGGAGAATTCCGAAAAGCTGGTGGCACCATCTGCTCCCCAGCAGGACCTTCGTCCCTATGGAGCCTTTCAACCGCTGCTGCTGAGTGCTCCCTACTACGCCGCCTACCAACTGCCACTCGCCTATGTGGTGCAACCCACCACCACCACCGCTGAAAAAGCCGATCAAGCCACCAAAGTAGCCACCACCACGACTGAGAGAACCGAAAGCTCGGCTGAAGAAAGCTCCGCAGAGATCGAGAAGCCAGAAAAGCTGCAAGTGCTGCCTGCAGCGAAGACACGAACCACTGAAGATCTGAAGAGCGATCTGAAGAGTGATTTGGGTCTCCGCTCGGCGGTTAGCAAGATAAACCCGGAATATATAATCGAGGAGATCGTTCCGGTGCCCGGCAAACTGGTGATCTCCACTTCTGGTTCGCCTCGCTCCGCCAAGCAGCAGTTCAAGAAGAATTCTTCTCTAAAGTTGAGAAAGCAAGTGGGTGGAAGGGTTGCTCCGAAGGTGGAGGCCACCGGGAAGACCAGCACCAGCTCGAGCAACTTCCCGCAGATCCCCTTCGGCAACTACTTCCTGCCCTACCGACCGGAGCAGGCGAAGGCGATCCAGGGCAGGAAGCAGGCGGCCCTCGTCCTGGAACCACACTCGAAGGCGGTGGTGGGAAACGGCGGCACCGCCATCTCCACGCCCATTTCGAAGGCGTATCTGAAGAGGGGCGTGCCCACCAACGTGTACTTCAATCCAGAATCGGTGGCCATCGCGGGTGTGGGTGGCAAGGCCCATGCCACCGCGGAGCTGGAGTTGGATCTCTTCACGTAGAGGAGCTGCAACGAGGCATTAAGTTAATTGTGGTGCCATTTTCATTAAGCGATATCTTAGTTGAATAGAGCTACATTTTAAATTTGAGGTGATTTCAGAAATATAATATCTTCCAAGCAAGATTAAAAATCCCTAAGTCATTTAAAACCTTAAACCTTTAGCTGAGTAATTGAATTCCAAACAAAGATAGTTTTTCCTAAAAGATAATCTCTTAGGAAAAATCTTTCCTAAAAGATAATCTTTTAGGAAAAATCTTTCCTAAAGTCAAATAATGTGTTAAAGTTTTATAGAGACTGTATAAATATTTTTGTTGAATAATAAGTTGTAAATGCCATTGAACTCAGAGAAACTAATTTAATATTCCAAAAACCCTTTCACTAAGAAATCGCTTACCATAAATACACCTTGTGCTAGATTATCCCATCCAACTGAAGCTAATTGGTAGTTCCTTTTCCCATCACTCCTATGTTCCTATGTTAAGAACAGAGGCCCAAAAAACAAAAGTGTCATTTCGTAGAGTGTAAATAAAGTAAATCGTAAACTGTACAGCTTTCGCCTTGGGTCATAGCTAATCCCCTGTAGATATATAGTAGATATCCCGATGCTTTTCCAACTCCCGCTTTCGCCAGGCAACCCAAAATCACAACACAACCAACACTCGCACTCTCTATAACCAAGTCCAATCCCAACAAGCAGACACAGATCTCGGGCAGCTCCGCTCGTCTTCGAGGAGCATCCCTACTACGGCGGACTGAGGGGTCAGCTCCTCCAGCTGCGTCCGCAAAAGGATGGCAGTTTAGGGAGCTTCATCCTGCAGCGCCAGCAGCCGCAATTGAGAGCTGTTCCCCGGGATTCCGATGACACGATCACCATTTCCGCGGCCAGCATTTCGGCCACAGCCGATGGAAGTGGAGCCAGTAGCTCTAGCCAGTCGATCTCCGCCAGCGCCAGTGACTTCAATCGGATTCAGTTGGCCGCCGCCCGCTTGGTGGCCATTCAGGAGATGGCCAAGCGGAAGGGCTCCTTCAGCGAGGAGGACAACAAGGTCTATGCCAGCAGTCTCCTGGAACTGGGTCAGGCTGCCCAGAGTTTGGCTCTCCTCCAACAAACAGGACAAATCAAGGATTTCAGTGTGTTGTTGCAACCGGAAATGTTTGGAATGCCACAGAAACAACCCACAAATTTTGGTTTGGAGGCCACTAACAATCCAGCGGATCAGAAAATCGATGAGCAGAAATTGGATGAGGTAACTGAGCAGCAGTTCTCGCCGGATGAGCAGTTCCTGCCGCCCAACAACGAGGATCCCTACGAGGATGTCAACGACAGTGTTTCCGTGATGGCTCCCAAAAAGGATGCTGCAGTTGCAGAAGCTAAACCAGTGGGTAAGTTAGCTGGAAAACACATTACAATAAGTAGGTATATATTAATTTACTTACTTATAAATCCATTTAAAGGTCTCTCAATTGCCGGAGAAGGTGGCGTGGCCTCCTCGAAACCCAATGCAGTGGCACTTTCCGGTCGAAATGGTTTGGCTGTAGCCTCACCAAAAGCCACTGCAATTGCTGGAGTTTCTCCGGAGGAGGCAGCTGCCTTCAGCATTTCCCTGCCCACTCGGAATCAACTGGTGATCAAGAGCCCCAATTTCGCAGCAGAGAAGGCCAGCGAGGATTATGACTACAACGATTCGCCCTTCTCCGTGGCTCGCTTTCCCTTGACCAGGGAAACCCCTCAGCAAGTACTTCCGATTCGCCTTTCTGGAGGAGATTCCCTAGTGGACAGGTGGCGCACTGCCATCGCCGAGGATTATGCCGCCAGGCAGGTTCAGGCCAAGGTGGCCATGGCTCATCCGACTCCATTTATTCGAATGGCTCCCAAGCGACGTCTCCACTCCGAATAGAAATAAAGGTGATGGAAGGCAGAGATTGAAATTTGATTGGACTCGATTGCAATGATATTTATATTTGTACAACTTATTGTGCCAGCTCCCTAATTGCCAATAAAATATATATTTAAATTAATTTATTTGAGAGTTTATTTGAAAGATTAAATGATGCGCCTAATTCCTGGATAATTATTGCATAATTTGTTATATTTTTTGCTTCAAGCAAAAATCTATCGAACACTTTTATTACCGATAATTAACAATGAAGTAAAACGCTGGTAAGTAAAATTAAGTTTATGCTTTTGCAAAATAAAGAATAAAGAAAATGTATGTAAGTCTATTTTATTGCTTGTATCTTAATTTGTAAATACGGTTTTTTTTTAAATGGTACAAATTTTATCAAAAATGTATATATTTTTCTAAAAAAAAATTTTTGTAATATGGTCCGCAATACTTAGGTATTTTTCCTGAAATATTTGGTACAATATTATACACTATTAATTAATTTAAAGTAGGTACCTACACATTCTACCAGTAGAATTAATTACGGAATTCCATTCTTTTTCTAACGTAAAATTGATGACAAACGCTTTTAGGATTTTTGACATCGTTAAGCACGAACTGTTACGGACTAGTAAGTGCATTTTAAGAGTTTCCATTTAAGTTCAATTTGGTCTGCACTTGCGATTACCATAATGAACATAATTAGCGAAAGGCTTGCTAAGTATACATGCAAATTCCTTTAGTAAGTAAAAGGAAGGGTATTCGACCCTTAAAATAAAGTATATATCTTGTTTACCTGTTTTTCACAACGAAGTAATGCACTTTTTAAAACAGTTGTTAGTTGTTAAAAAAAAAATCACTTTGAATACCTACAAAATCGAGTTATTTTTATTTTGTAGGCGCACGAAAAACAATATTACCCTAATAGAAAATTTAAGTAATTTTAACCTTTCTCGGCTTTTAGGCATGCTACGGCATATCTAGCTTATGTAACCCAATACTTTCATGGTATATACAAGAGAGTAAGTATTAAATACTGGCTCAAAACAATCAGCAATGTATACTAAGGTGTTTCTACTTGCTGTCCTTTTTTGCCTGGTGGGAGCAGTCCTCTCCAGACAACGTAAGTTTTTAAAATTGATGTAAGGATTGCCTGTCTATTGCTGATATTCACAGGTGAAAAATGGTGCCGACTTAACTTAGGACCTGCTAATGGCGGAAGATGCTAAACATTAAAAAAAAAGTGTAAAATTCTTTTTATACTTCTGCGAAATAAAGAAGGAAACGTGGACATTGGATGTTAATTATTTTTGAGTAAACACTTCAGGATGTTGGGCATCGTTAGACCCGCACTATTTACGGTCTAGTTACCATTTTGTTACTTTGTTGACTTTATTACAGTTTGGGTAAGAAGTATACTCAATAAATTTCCCACCGCTTATATATATATATTTTTTTTTTTGGAGTGGCTTACAACCTGATTCTCCACGGCGAAGAGAGCTAATGTTGTTCGATTAAATACCGGAGATTAAAGAGATTTGATTACCCTCGATTGCAAGAAGATTTATAGTATACTTTCTACATCGTTTTGTGTGTCAGCCTCTGAATTAATAATATAGTTTTCCTATATTATTCAATTTATTTGTGGGCAACTAATGGATTTAATTGTATTCATTTTAATAGTTTTTATAAAAATTAGCTAACTCTTACAAACCTGAACTAAACTGATATACTATTCACTGCACATGGCAGCCAAAGTTTTACTGCCTGTGAAAACAAATTGTAGTAAAAGACGGTTAACTCCTGTTCGAATCGCATGCGCAATAATTGTGTGCTAAGAGCTCGTTAAGTTCCCCTAATTATCCGGTCTTTGGGAGGTGCATAGCCGCAATCACATCGCTGACCAGCCGGAGGGGCCAATGAACTGGTGGCTCGTTACCGAAGACCACAGAAAGATAGCCAACTCCGATCATTTGAGCTGTGCGACGCATCTAATTGCTGCGGGAAGTGACCACAGTTTATAACGAAAATAAATTTATTTATGCGATTTGCGCAGTGCGAGAATCAGAATCTCAGGCGTACTGAATGCTGAATGCAATGCAAGCATGTGCAAATCTTGATTAATCTTTTCCGCCAGGCCAACCAACATGGAAATAAATTATCTAAGCGGGGCGAAGGGAAACTGGGGAAAAGATAGCCAGGAAAGAAGGCATTCAATTTGCACCTGAACCAGTTGGCCGCATCTACTATCTGCAGCACTCGTTGTTGCAAGTTGCAACCTTCTTCTTCGAACCGTCAATGCGGCTTCAATGCGATCGGGTTGTGGCCATGCCATGCTTGACTTCTATTACGCGGCAGGTTTCAAAAAGCCAACTTGCAGCACTGCCGGCCAGCAGAGGAGGCCCAAGAACTTGGCCGAGACCAAGAGACCAAGAGACCGCATCTACGTTGACCATCTGCCATCTGCAGGCGAACCTGAAACCAGAAACTATCTCTTGTTGGTTTGCTTGGCTCCTTTTGGAGCCATCGTCTCCCCTTTCCTGCTGCTCTTCCTCCAGGGAAGCTGTTCCAAGCATTTCCAGTTCTATCAGTTCTTCAGCTTCAGCTGCAGCAGCTCCAGCTCCATCTCTTTGTTCTTGGGAAAGGTCAGGGCGAGGGGCTCGTGGCCGCACATTATAAAAGGCCATGGCTGGCCAGCAGTGGCCACCAGTTTCCTTGAAGTGGTCGCCGTGTTAACACTGAAGACTGAACACTGAGGCCAGACTGCCACAATTGCCATAGTGCCTTAACTCAGTAGTGATAGTTTAGATTCTTCTCGAGCGGATTGCGGATCGTGAAATTTATCAACTAGACTTGGGAAAGCAGTGAAAGGCCATCAAACTACCAGAAGGTAAGTCTGTCCCCCAATTGGGCTTCTCGATTTACATTTACCCTCGTCTCGTCGCGGGTCGAGAAAGTTATTTCTAGGCTGGTTTCGCTTCTTAGCTCTTAAATTCCTTTTATGGGGTCACTAAAGAACTGTTGAACAGCTCTATTAAGTTACTGTGGCTGTCAGTTGATTAAGCCATAAAATCACCGTAAGAAAGTAAAACCATCCGCGATTAACAGCTGAAGACAAATGAAGAATTTTATCTGTGAGATGAGCTAGAATAGGGACTATTTTCCACCGAATACAAAATAACAAAAAAACAGAATAAAGAAAATTCATTTTCCCTTGTTGATAATTAAATTTAGATTTTTGATATACTTAAAAGCAATTAGAATTTCTTTGTTCTTCGTTATTCGGGAAAAAAAAGAATGTTGCTTTTTTAGTCTTCTTCATCGAATTTGAAATATCTTTTCGTTTAATATTTTGAGTTTATAACTTTAATGCAAGAGATTTTCAGCTTTAATATGAACAAAATATTTTACAATTATTTAAAGAAAACATGTTTGCTTAGAGAAATATATTCGAGATAATTTTTAGGTATTAATAAGCATTTATTTATATATTTACGGTAAGCTAAATTTAAGGCATTAAATTATTTATTCCTTAATATACATTGTATTTTATTTATAAAGATACTTTAAACTGATAATCTTGCTTAGCATTTATACTAACATAGTTACGTATTATAGTTAAAGATACCATTTCGCAATATTAAGTTATTCCCAATCCGAATAGTCCTTACCCAGAAACAAAAGACTTAGGCAACGAACTTGGCCAGTGCTTGGACCACACAAAGAACATTCTTCGGGGGGCGGGTAGTGGGGAGTGGGGAGCCACGAACTTGACTATCAAGTACCGATTTAAGCCATAAAGCTGCTCGCAGTCATTAGCCAGTATCTACACTAGAAGTGCTCGACGAAGAAGTTCCATTGGCCTGGCCAATCAATTGCAAACCGGTTGATAGTCCCTCGATCCACGTACACGACCACGGGAATGGGGAGCATCCTGTCCAGCCAGGCAACATGCAATTACACACGCACACACACTGCTGCAGAGTAACGTTAAATTTAGAATGGACTTTGGTGCGCTGGCAGGAGAGTGGCTATAAATAAACCATCCACTAGATAGCGAAAAATAGCAGCACTTGGGGCAAAAAGATAATGGTTTATAGTTGGGTCCCTCAATCGAATATTGTGTAACTGCCATCCAAGTACAAAAAAAAGAAAATTAATAGAAAAAGTAAAAATGCATAGCAAACGTTTTTATCTATGGATTTTCATGCATATTATTGGAACTTGAAATAAAATTGGCTTAGATTCGCTTAATCTTAGGGGAAACCTATTTATCGTCTCCTCCAGCTCTGGATTTTCATCTACATTCGTAATCATGAGGTCGATGTGGTTGGTGGTTGTCGCTATTCTGGCTATGGTTAACTTTGGAGACGCACTGGAGTTGCGACCCAGAAGAGGTTATCCCAAACACATTCCAATAGGCCCCGACCAGCCAAAAGGTTAAAATCCGACAACGATACCATATAGCTGCCATAGGAAAGATGGAAAAATCTATATGGAAATAAAGGAAATAAAATTATAACGTCGTCGTTTTTAATGCCACGTGCATGATTTTTAAAATATCTTTGAATCGAGAATAAAATGTCATGAAAATTGTCTGAATCATGAAAATGTAGAATCTAACAACGTTATCATATAGCTGCCATGGGAAAGGTCGAAAAATCTATATGGAAATAAAATAAATAAAATTATAACATCGGTGTGGGATATACAGTTTTGTAATGACTCTTGAATTTCAAATTAAATTTCATCAAAATCGGACGACTATACCATATAGCTGTCATATGAACAACAGTCGGAAATATGGAAAATGAATAGAAATATCGTCATAGCTTCGATGTTGTTTATCCTTTATGTATTTTGATCGACATATTTAATGACTGCAAGGGTATATAAGCTTTGTTTTATGGTATTCAAAATAAATGATAAAAGGTACTCATTTGAAAAAGATGAAAATAAATACATATAAGAAAATATATAAAATCTGTTCGATTTTAAATTTTACCAAGATATAAAAATCAACATAGGGTAGTAAATAAATTTACTTTATAATATGTCAAGGAAGATTGTTTATTCTAAGTTGGTTTACTCCACTGTTAATCCCAAGGTATATAAAACTTTTGCTAATATAAGAAAGCAAGTAATGGTTTAATGTTGTTGCTAACTTTTGAATTTGGTTCGTTAAAAGGTAATTTTTTGCAAAAGTATTAAGCTGCCTAGATGGAGTTAAAAATGTATATTTATCCCCTTCCCAGAATGTTCCTCCTCGCGGCGTTTTGCCTGGCCCTGATGGCTACGGGCGGTCATTCCAGGCCGTTGGAGCCGACGGCCCAGCACATCGTGATCGTGACCCCCCAGGCGCAGGTTCACCTGGAGCCGGCCCTCCGCTACGTCCACGGACTGTCCCCATTGGCTCGAGTGGCCGCGCCCCATCATCACGAGGAGACGATTGTCTATGTGCCGGCGGGCACGGCTGCCCAGGTGGTGCCGGTGGTGGACGCCGTGGGTTCTGGGCGAGCCGGTGGCGGTGCTCCGGAGACGAAGCAGTGGGAGAACACCGGCGAGATAGCCAACCAGATCCAGCAGGTATCGCAGCAGGGCGTGGAGATCGTGAGTGGCCAGTTGAGCGAGGCGGCAGCTTCGGCAGCCTCCGCGGGAGCGGGTTTCTTCCCCTCTTTGTTCCCTCCAAGTGGTTCCAAGAAGGAGGAGCAGCTGAAAACCGAGAAGATTGAGCTGATCGAAACCCCTGCAAATACCCAGCCACTGATTGCCACCGAGGCCAGACACTTCTACACGATTCCGCAGGTGTATCACACCCCGGTGGTGGATGTGGTCCATGGACCCGTCTACACCTGGCCCATTTCCGCCATCCGGGCACGCAGCATCCAGCAGGAACCGGAAGCGGAATTGGCCACCGCCGATCTGGGTCTCAAGCAGACTTTGAAGACGGAGCCACTGGCGGAGATTAAACCGGAAACGGAGAAGGAACAACCTTTGCTGAAGGAGCAACCTCAGCTGAAGGAGCTACCTCTGCTGAAGGAGCAACCTCTGCTGAAGGAGCAACCTCTGCTGAAGGAGCTACCTTTGCTGAAGGAGCAACCTCTCCTGAAGGAGCAACCCTTGCTGAAGGAGCAGCCACAGCCTCTACTAAAAGAACAGATCCTGGAGCAGCCTGCCATCAGCCAGGAGCCACTGAAGCCCATCATCGCCGAGGCCAGCGAACAGAAGTCCGAGTTCGCAGGTCGCCTGCTGGAGAGCAATGCCATCAAGCAGGAGCTCAAGGGAGCCGAGATCGCCAAGGAGCAGCTGAAGGAGGAGCGTGAGTATCCTTTTCTAAAGTTATTCCAACTAAAATTGAAATATGTATCGTGTCAACTATCGTTGGCAGCCAAAATCCAGCTGCAGGAGGAGCTGATCAAGACCCTCCAGGCTGAGCCGCTGACCAAGACTCTTCCCTCGGAGGAGATCCAGGCTGAGCAGCCGAAGCAGCAGGAGATCCAGCAGATTATTCCGGCGCAGAACGCCGAGATCATCGCCGATGCCATTTTGCCGCAGGCCTAGATCCTCGGGAACAGAACCAGAACTCAGTAATCAGTACTCAGAACTCATCTCTGAATCTCACACACAATCCTCGGGCAGCTTTGGTTCTTCGACTGATTCTCATCGCTGGCACGGAATCGATCATGGATTGATTACCGGGCCACGGGGTTTTCCACCCACCACCCACTCATCCAACATACAAACAACACCCACCAAGCGTACATTTAATTACTAACACAGAACGACACACACACACGCACACATTTTCCATTTTCCAGACATTAATTAACAGAAGCGAAACGAGAACGAGACATTCATTCATAATTATCATCACGAAACGTTCGTATTCATCATCATCATTACATATTCATTAACCATAACATTGAAAACGTAAAACAGAACAATAAAAAAGTGAATGTAAAATGTAGAAAGGTGCGAGTGGAAATTCTAGATGGGCTGTGGGAAATGTGGAAAAGACTTTTACAGTCGCTGGGAATTAAATTTCAGGAATGTCTGCTTGGAATTTATATATGAAGCTCACTTAAAGCAAATGATTTCTAGCATTATTACAACATAATCTACTCATTTTAATGCAAAGACTTGCAAAAATATATTTATTTTGTTTGCCATCATTACGTAATGACAATGACCCTCAAAAATCCATAAAGTTTCTTGCGCAGCTCGGCAAATTCCCCGGCAACATAGAAATATTGCAACTATTACACCGTCGGGTAAATAAAATCATAAATTATCCGATCCACAACGCCGCATACAAAGTAACTCCAAAACGTGCCCAGATATTTGCGAACGAGGGTGAAATATATTCAAAAGTTAGTTTTGTTTTGAGTACGGCACTTTTATTCACTTACACAGATATTGGAATAAATAAAATAATAAATAGGGCGAGGATTAATTCGCATCTTCTCCCACTGTAATGTAGGCATCCTGTTCTCCCACGACTATCAAATCGTCTTCATCCTCCGATTTCAAGGTGGTTAACTCCTGAGAATTCTCTGCCTTTTCGGTAGTGGAATCAATTCGCTGGAGAGGTTTACTGGTATCCGTATAGCGATAGACCGAAAAGTAAGTTTGAATGCGTTGGATGATGTTCTCCAAAATTGGCGGAAACTTGTGCTCCACTCCATCGCCGTAGATCTTGAAATCCAATCGGGTTACGCCATCATTCTCGGAAATCTTTGAGGGATTTATCTTTAGAGCTTGAAGCACTCCTCGAAGCATTATTAAATTCTGTAGGTTGCTGCCACTTTGATTGGGAGCTCTTCTCAAAATCAGTGAACCATTCGGTTTTACCTCCAAGTAACCAAATTTCTCCGTATTAAGGGGAAACGCCTGATTCGATTCCACTCCACTTTTGATCAGAGTAAGGGGTATAATAGCTGCTTGAATGCCAGTAAATATCAGTCCCAATCCGAGGGTTATTATATGGATTATCTGCATCTCGGATGGTAGATCTGCTCAGTCGGTGGCCTGGAATTGCACTAATTTTGGGTTCGACTTGGCCAACGAACTTATTCCAACTGCTGCGCTTTTTCTCCACATTTGACCAGTTTTTTCGTACGCATTTTGAGTGTAATTGCCCTCTGTTTGTATTTACCTTTGTTCGGTTTGGTTAGGCACTTGCTTTTGGCTTGGCACATGGCCAATAAGCCCGATTCCAATCCAAACTTTGAGACGTGCCCTGAGCACTCGCTGCGCTTTGGTTTTGGTTTTGGCTTTGAGTTGTTTCGCCTGTTTGAGTTACCCATTTGCATTTATTTGTCAATTTTCTGTTATATTATTCTTCGACTGGCCCCGAAAGTGAGGTGTATTGCCAATATCGACGATAACGCCGTGTAGTGAAAGTGTTATATTCTCCGAAAGAGATGAGAAGGGTTCACACCCACTCTCTACGTTATGTACTAAATGCTTACGAATTTACATTGTTTATGGAGAGAAATTATGTTTTAAAAGATGTCCCACAAAAAGGTGCAGTAAATGGATTTGTAAACAAAAATATTTGCGGTGAACGATTTTTTTGCATTGTGCAATTATGGTGCACTTTCTTAAGGATATAACGGTTATATTATAACCCCTAATTATATACCCTTTACGTCGAAAAATAATAAACCTTATTAGTTAGGCAACATCTAAAGTTTCCAAGTTTCCAAAAAATAGGTTTGTTCAAAATTGACGAAAATTTAAACTTAGTAAAAAAAACAAAAAGTTACTTTGAAGTACCAGGCGAACAGAATGCATCAGAAAGTGGCTGATTTTAAAATAAAGAACTTCCAATTGATCCCAAAAGTAGTTTTCATAGAAAATTTCCACAATTAATACTCCCATCTAATGCATTCTGTTGACCTGGTACTTAAAATCGTATTTCCAATTGCAAGAGCAACAGCGCATTTTCTGTGTTTGTTCAAAATTGACGAAAATTTAAACTTAGTAAAAAAAACAAAAAGTTACTTTGAAGTACCAGGCGAACAGAATGCATCAGAAAGTGGCTGATTTTAAGATAAAAATCTTCCAATTGATCCCAAAAGTAGTTTTCATAGAAAATTTCCACAATTAATACTCCCATCTAATGCATTCTGTTGACCTGGTACTTAAAATCGTATTTCCAATTGCAAGAGCAACAGCGCATTTTCTGTGTTTGTTCAAAATTGACGAAAATTTAAACTTAGTAAAAAAAACAAAAAGTTACTTTGAAGTACCAGGCGAACAGAATGCATCAGAAAGTGGCTGATTTTAAGATAAAAATCTTCCAATTGATCCCAAAAGTAGTTTTCATAGAAAATTTCCACAATTAATACTCCCATCTAATGCATTCTGTTGACTTGGTACTTAAAATCGTATTTCCAATTGCACTCGTCAAAGTCGGTCAGCCAAGCTCACAATTTTCGGGCCAAACGCATTTTGAAGTACCAGGCGAACAGAATGCAATAGTAGGTGGCTGGTCTTAAAATACAGATTTTCCAATTGTTCCGAATGTTAAGAGAAAATGTTGCAACCATACGCAAGAGCAACAGCGCATTTTCTGTGAGCCCCCAAAAGTATAATACAATTTTTAATTTATTTTACATAATTTAGTATAACTCATACGTTAATTTTTTTTTTTTTTGCGTCCCCAAATACAAACTATTGAAGGTTAATCTATACTAATATTATAAAGAGGTAAAATTTGTTTGTTTGTTTGTTTGTTTGTTTGCAGGGAATAGGCTCCGGAACTACTGGTCCGATTTAAAAAATTCTTTCGCCGATAGAAAGCTATATTATCGTGGAGTTAAATAGGCTATAATTTATTTTGAAAAAAATTAGGGATCCGTAAGAAAATTGCAATATTGTCGCATATAAAGTGAGTTGCTACCTCATCACACTGACAAACACGCTCCCATAGCATTTTAACTCAATTTTTGTGTTCACTGTGAAATTGTGAAAAAAAAAGAATTTTTATTCAATTTAAGTTGAACTGTGAAAATTATGTGGATCGTGCATTTGAGGATAAATTCACCACTCTGTCCATAGTCCAAAATGCTTAGAGGACGACGTGCAAACATTGGCCGCAGACATCCAAGCCAGCAGCCAGTATATTCACAAAACTTAAGCGAAGAAAGACAAATGAGCACATGGAGATCATTGGCATCATTCAATCGCATGGCATTCCAATATGACCCCACTGCGAACTACAGTGATAATGAAAATTTAGATATTGGACCAATGGCGACTATATACCGATATTGCAGTGCGTTAAAGTTTAAAAGAGAAACGGCTGGATTGTGCTGCGCAAGTGGAAAAGTCAAACTGGAAAAGTGTTAAATCACCATCTTTCTATACTTCCATATATTTGAAAAATGTTGCAATATTGACTTTTATGTTGTTAAATTGTGTTGACCAGCGAAGCGGACACAGGACCTCTAGTTTTAAATATAAAGATAATGTTATAAAATGTGTTTTATTTTTTTAACAACCTTTACCGGCCAATCTGGCAACACCAGAAACGAATCAAATAATTCCACACCTGGTCACATGAAAAAACCGTTAGGGAGTTATCCAAGTTCAATTGATTAATTATTAAAATAAATACAAAATATTGTTTATTCTTTAATTATTTAATTTATAACTTCCTTTATTTTTCAAACCTGTCCCATTATTGTAAATTTCGGTTCCATTGAAAACACAAAGTCATTCCGTTGATAATTTATTAATTTATTTAGATTGAATTTCATTAAATAGTTAAGGACATTGATATAATGTTGTGTCGCATTTATCATTATTATTTGTGTGTGTGTGTGTGTGGGTGTCTGTGTGTATTTAGTGCTTCAAGTAAGCGGAGTCTCTAACATTGTAGAAGGACTGACTGAATGTCGAAACGAAAATAATATAAACTAAACAATTAAATTGCTAGGACTTGTGTTTGTGTGCGTGTGTGTTGTTGTTGTTGTTTTTGTTGCTGTTTTAATAAACATACAATACATATCAAACATAAATCGTGTGTGTGGTTTTTAATACAATAGAACTGTTTAGAACTGAAACCCGCGGTTAGGAAACTTTCATCGCATTCGGCTCGCTGCTCGTCGCTTGGTTAAAACTTATAATAAATAAATAAACATACATTTTTCAATGTGGCAACAATAGTTACAATTGGTTCAGTATTTCATATAGATTTTTTTTGGGCTTTTTCCATTTTTTTTTGTTGTTGTTTGCGTTTAGTGATTTTGATTTCGTTCTGAAATGCAATTACAAATAATAAGTTTCTATACAATCCGATGTGCTGGTCTAAGCAAGTTATTATAGATTTTAGCTAACTCTATCGACTTGAAGCTTTACAAAATTTGATTTGCTTTTGATTTTGCTTTTAGTAGGACTCATTATCTCCTCAATGCTCAGCTAATTTCTTTTCTTCCATATCTAATGTACTCGTAAGTGTAAGGCATTATCTTCTCTTGTATATCGTTTTAATACATGTGTATATATTCCTCTCAATCGTTTCTCTCCACTTGCATCCCTCCTGATTTGATCCATAATTTCGTTGAATTTGTTTATGGCTAATTTAAGCTTGCTGCTCCCCAGCTCTCCCACTCTCCCACCTCCCACTTCCTCCTGACTCGTTGCAGAGGGCTTACATCAGCTTCTGCTTGGCACAATCGGGGCAGAGGATGTCGGGTCCGTCGGTGATGAAGCCACGACCCACCAGACTGGCCTTGCAGCTGGCGCACACGAAGCAGTCGTGGTGCCAATGGCGATCCTCGAACGAGATGAACCGTGTGCCACCAATTCCTAATAAAATAAAAGGGAACATAATCAGATTGGTTTTATATAGATTTTATATTAAAGTTTAGTAAAACTTACCTGTTATGGGCTTCACACAGGCCGTGCAGCGCTTGGCAAACAGCTCGCCAAAGCACTCGGCACAGTAGGGCTTCTCATCGCGGCTGGTGAACCGCTGGCCAGCGAGCGTGATGTTGCAGTGGGTGCACGTGAAGCACTCGCGGTGCCACGGCTCGTTCTTGTAGGTGACACCTCCCGAGGTGATTACCTAAAAGGATATAGCAACTCGTTTTAATTAATTTCAGATAAAGTATACCAAATCGATATTAGAATATTAAATTGATAAATAATAATAATATTTCATACTGTAATATCAAATTGCAATTGGAATATAATATTGATACCATAATAGCGTAATGAAAATATATTAGAATTTCACATTGATATTATTAAATATATTTATATTGGAGTATTACAAGTATCAATTTGATATTGGAAAATTTCAAGTATTAAATGGATAAATTTGATACTAAAATATCACAATTATGTAGAATTATTTATTTTGTATTTTAATTGCATTTGAATATCGAATTGTTATTAATCCAATACTCCAATTACTCCAAAGATATTATTTATATTTAAAAGATTATTAGAACATTAAACTGATAAAAGGATATCAGCATTGATATTGATATTGGAATATGAAATAGATATTGGCACTTTAAATAGATATTTAAATATCAAATTTATATTGTAGTATGTATTTTATAATTATTGTAGTTTTTTTACTCCTCTATTGTGAACCTACCTTATTGCACTTGATGCAGCGCGTGGCGAACTTCTCCTCGTAGCAGCCGGCGCAGTAGATCTCCTGCTCCCGCGGGATGAACGACTTGGTCCCGATGGCCGTCTTGCAGACGCAGCAGCAGAAGCAGTTCTCGTGCCACTGCCTGGTTTTGTACTCCATCTTCTTGGTACCTAAAGTAAGGAAATAAAGAACAGGGGACACATCAGACCAAATCGAAATCAATTTCCGCCTTAACGCGGCCTTGAACCTTGAACTTTGTCAACCCACTAACCCAGCTCCTCCCGAATGGGATCCTATCATTCATTCAATCTGGGCAAAAACTCAATTTCAGCCGGCGACAGATTGAGGGCAGAGTCAATCAGCGGATGGAAGACAATCCGTTTTCAATATGGAAACAATAGCTTTTCTTTATTATGTCAGCCAGACATGCAACTTTTTCCA